ACTCGTTCTATCTCGGAACTTCTCGTCCCTGGAGTTCAATACTCGCTGTATATCTCGCCTTTCGTACATGACCTGTCGTTTTTTGAGTCTCACTCATAAAGCTGCAACGCCTTGAGAGTCTAAGACGGGCAGTGAAAGCCAGCAAGTTACATGTCGTTTGTTTGCCTGGACAATGTTTGCTTTTCGTCTCTTGTGATTTGCCGTGCTACAGAGCAGCTGTCTAGAATAGCGCCTCCAAGTTCTGGACCCTCGCTTCCGGTTGGCCACATATGACGTTCCATTCCTCAAACATGTGGTTGCCATGCGTTGAGTTGCATTCATGTTGTTGTCTCGCGTGGCTACCGCATGGCTTGAGACTTCTAGGGGTGAGGGATTGTATGGACGGCAGATATCCCCGTCGATGATATACTTGCCTAGCTACTGTAACTCAGCGGTAGATCTCCACAGAGTTTTGAGATCAAGAGCTACTGGAAGGGAACTAAGCTAGTTAGTGATGGGCATTCTTTATGTTGTTTTAGAGGTGAAACTTGAGTCAAGCTGGCCTTGTATGGCTTGTGCTCTGACTTGAGTACCTTACCTTGGAAATAAGTGATAATTAATTGCCTTTGCCACACGCCATATCCGTCAAGCCTTAATTCAACCTGTCAAGTCAAGTCAAGTCAAAGTTGACTAAAAAGAGAGTTTTCCTGTGATTTGGTTACCGAATCTAGAATCTAGATCAGCCTCGTTTCTCACCTGTTTCTGTCTCGGACCATATTCCATAGCCAAGACTTCCCTAAAAGATTCATCCTCACTGTAGCCTTCAGTGGAAGCCGCCGGGCCACCCCAAAAAGCAAGGAGAGCCTGGAGCTTACAGGGCCTGACCCCACTAACAGAAAACCTCCACCCTCCTAGAGGGAACTAACAATGGATCCCAGCTGTTCTATCGTACGACTTCCTGAGCTTGGATTTCCCAACATCCATCCACTTCGCTTTTACTTTTCGCCCTCACTTAGATACACCCTCTATTGCCTGGGGGGTACTGCTAGGCCTACCACGAGGAATAGACGGCTTGTGGAGAAGCCCAAATTTTCTTTCTTTTCTTTTTTTTCCCTATAGTCATGGCTATAATCTCTGTTTGTGGGTGTATCACCCCGTCCACTCTAATTCAACTGGGGGCGTGTGATATCTCAATATCCATGCCATACCATGCCATGCCCTTGCTGTGTCATGGCCATGAGCCATGAGGAGGAGGAGAAGAAGGAGGAGGAGGATATAATATCTGGGGGCGACTCCCCTCTCATATTCATCTCTCGACTGACGAACTCTGCTTCATTCCAACATCCATCTCATTCCTTTACTCATCCGCTACTCTACCAACCTCGACATATCCAGCAGTTACACGAAGCATTGTCGACATTTCTCAAGACTCTATCTATTCCATACTCACCCTCAGCCTTCAAGAGGTGCCTCTCTTACTACTCCTTCAGCTGTAATACCTCACACTCTTCACAATGGCTCTGTCATATCAACAAACCAGGCTCATCCGGGGCACCATCCCCGCCCTCACCGACCACGGGGAGCGCATCACCACCATCTTCTACCGCAACATGCTCCGTGATCACCCCGAGCTCAACGACTACTTCAACACCGTCAACCAGGCCAACGGTCGCCAGCCTCGTGCCCTCACCGCCGTCATCCTCAGCTACGCCAACAACATCAACCACATCACAGAGCTCATCCCCAAGATGGAACGCATGTGCCACAAGCACTGCTCCCTGGGCATCAAGCCAGAGCATTATGGTATCGTCGAGAAGTATCTCATCGCCGCCTTCGCTGAAGTCCTCGGTCCTGCCATGACACCACAGGTCAGAGAGGCTTGGCAGAAGGCCTACTGGATGCTTGCCAAGATGCTCATCGGTCGTGAGGCTCAGCTCTATCGTGACTTTGGCAAGTGGCAGGGCTACCGCAAGTTCCGCATCGAGAAGAAGGTTGAAGAGTCTGACGACATCTACTCCTTCTACCTCGTTCCTGTCGACGGCAAGCGTCTTCCTCCCTTCCAGCCTGGACAGTATGTCTCTGTTCAGGTGCCCATTGCCGACAAGGGCTATGTCCAGTCTCGCCAGTACTCCCTGAGCGAGGCTCCTCGACCTGACTACTATCGCGTCACCGTCAAGCGAGACGAAGGACTTCACATGACCCGCAGCGGTCGATATCTCGGAGGCGATGCCCTCAACCCCGGTGTTGTCTCCAACCTCCTTATCGACATGAAGGACGAGGGCGATATTGTTGAGTTGACTCACCCCGCTGGCGAGTTCTACCTTGACATGTCCAACACTTCTAACGTTCCCATCGTTCTCATCTCTGCCGGTGTTGGTGTCACTCCCATGATGTCCATCCTGAACACCGTTTCCGAGCGCCAGCCTCACCGTCCTGTCTCCTGGATCCACGGCTCTCGCCGCTCCGTTCCCTTCTACGACCAAGTCCGACGCATCGCACGCAACCGTCCCAGCTTCCGCACCAACATCTTCAAGACCCATCTCGCCGAGTCCGACGTCTACGGTATCACCTACGATCACGACTTCCGCATGGATCTTGCCAAGGTCGACAAGGAAGACCTTTACCTCTGCAACAGCTCTACCGAGTACTACATCTGTGGGCCTGAGCAGTTCATGCTCGAGATGGCCGAGTACCTCAAGGCTCAAAAGGTCGACGCCCCTCGTATGCATTTTGAGCTCTTCAGCACTGGTGACATGGAGTTTAAGGTCGATAACCTGAGCATTGGCTCTGCGTCAAAGGCAAATTCCATCAACAGTAACGAGGCCAGATGCCCCAGTTCCGGAGCCATCTCTACCAATGGTGCTACCTGCCCCTTCTCATGAGTTTGGACCATATCTGAACAGAACGAACAAAAAATAAAACCATCTATGGGGCTCTCGGTCATGGGCTAGATTACGGGAAGTGATGAGGCGTTACGGGTTAGGCGCATATCTTATTCTTTATCGATGTATCTCTTGTTATAAGATTCCCTTTGACAAATATTCTCTCTGTCAAACCATAATACATGTTCATGTTCTACTTCTACACTACACGATCAAAGGGTTTCGACGACACATTGGGCTTATCTGAATGAAACGGCAGGAAGGAAAAGTGCGAGATTCAGGATGGGATTGGGAGGTATCTAGAAAGCGAAAAGAGAATTCAACTGAATTTCATTGTTCTACCTGAATCAACAAACATGCTAAGGCATGATACTCCATCTATATAACCACAACTATACCAAATAATGAGCGAATAAATTGGTGTATACGTGGTCCCGTACTCGCTTCTCAAGCGATCCCCCCGTCTTTGCCCGCTCCGGTAGCATGGCAGGGTAGGCTGGCCAAAAACATATCAAATCAGGAGATTGATGACGAACAAAGGAAAACCCCGCGTATGCAAGTGAAGGATAGGAGAAACGAAAGAAGAATACCGGCTGTTCCGTTACTGTTCGTAGTTATGAAACTTCTTCCAATGCTTGAGCAGATTGTCCTGCCTCGTAAACTTTGACTTACACCCCTCGAAACCACAGATCCTCTCCTCGGTGAGGATACCCTTGCTCGCTGCGTAGGTTTTATGAGAGGTTCGGTAGTGGCGATCCATGTCCCGCTGCTCTGCCTTGGTGACGTTACAGTTGGGATCGGCTTTGCATTTGACAGGCTTGTTGTGGGTTTTCATGTGTTTGCTGCGTCGTATTAGTCAAAACATTCTTTGTTTCATGTTTGCAAACTTTACTTCAAGTCTCTGTTGCCGCCGAAGAAGCGGTCACATTCTGAACAGTAGTGCGGAGTGGTGCCCTGGACTGTAGACGATGAAGCCTCCGGTAGAGCTGAGATGTCGTTAGCTTGTTTCTGTTTCAACTAGAGATGGATGTAACATACTAGGCTCGGCAGTTGGATAGGAGCTGGGGTAATTCTGGGTTGCATAACCGGACCCTGAACTCAGTAAAACCTCATTGGGGTTGACAGTTGCAGGTTGCTGCGTCATGTAATACAACATGCTTGGATCCTGAGTCTCTGGGGCACTCGTGTCTGTTGCGTATACACCTGAGTTGAAGTCAGAGACTTGTGAGTCAGCGCTCTACTGGCTCTGACTTGGACCAGCCTGGCTGTATGAGGCAAAGCCCTGGGTATCAGTATATCCAGGGTATGAGGCTTCGGAAATCAGATTGGGATCAATGGGGATGTCGTCCTGTTGAGATTGGTGAGATCTGCTGGAACGACTGTGTCTGTGAGAACGGTCGCTTCGTCGTGACATGTCTAGAATATGGTCACTCTTAGAGTATGACTTATAGAAGAGCTGAATGGATGGTGGGTATCACTGAAAGGACCTGAAAGCCTTGATATTAGCTCTTGACAGGATATTTGAAGGTAAATTTATACTCATTGAAAGAGCCTCTTTGGAGGCCGGCCGGGGGCCGACAGCACATTCTCATCTCTTTGATGTTTGATAGTGCTGGCTGGATCAATACTTGAACAAGGGAAGGGTTGAGAACAAGATAGAAAATCTCAGATACTGAAAGGCGGAATACTCAATGGCGTAGCGAGGATATGAGACAACTCGCGATATCACGAGTCTGCCTCGTCCGACATTTGCGAGCCAAATACAGACCAATTTCGGTGGGATTCGTCATTTTGGTTGGAAGATTCAATGAAGATAAATGTCAGATAAGGCGATCGAGAATATTGGAGGCCGGCTTGGGAGATGCAGATGTTGGTCACCCCGCATGATGCGATGTGATTGACTGATGGGCCTCCCAAACTGGCCGGCCTCCGACATGAGGCTTGGACGAGGCAGATCTTGGGATTTGAAAGAGTGTAAAAAGTCTGAGAAGCTGAAGAGCTCGAGGCCTCTTGGGCGATAAGAAACCATATAAGAGTAACATTCTCTTCGAATGGCTGACTTTGTAACTGCAAACTGCTCTTGTCGAGCATACACTCCAGCCTATTGCACAAACAAGGCCCTTGATAGCAAAACCAATCATGGCTACTGGTAAGCTGGCCCTCCATCAATGAAATCTACAATAACTAACGGTCAACAGACGACATCATCTCGCTCAAGTCCAGGCAGAAACGCCGTCTCTATGAGCCCATCGTTCTGTACAAGGCTCTCACTGAGATCACCCACGAACAAGGCGCTCTTCGTCCTGCTGAGGCCCCAGAACGGCCCAGAACCGAAGAAGAGCGATACCATCACTTTCTACATAAGCTCGCAAGTATCTGTGATAGCACAAAGGGCGGTAAGACCGTCACTTCAATCGCCATACTCGATGAGGAAGAAAAGTACAAATACATCTTTGCTTGCAACCAGATATCCGATGGAGACCTCGACGATACACAAGATCTCCTGACGACAGTCATAGAAAGTCTGTATGGCTTTCATTCATTTCCTTTGGATAAGAAGAAGACTGTTGAGAGTGAGCTTCTGAAGAAGATTGTCTCATTCAACTCGTCAAGGATCAACTGCTATCTTAATGCACTAAAGGCGAAGAACATTGTGGATTGCCTTGAGTACTGCCAGCTGCAGACAGACACAGCCAGTAAGTTAGACTACCGGTATCCCAAGATACAAATTAAAGCTCACAAGAGATATAGACACCTCGGTTGAGGAGGGTTTGAGGAGTCTTGAAAGAGCTATTGAGGATACAACATTCAAGAACATGGGCGATAACGAGTGTAAGACCCATGGGTCTCGTGTATTGCCACAGGAACTAATCAGGAACCAGACTTTGAAACTTATAACACGATTCAACAAGCGCTCGAGGCGTTTCTTACCCGTGAAGTCAAAAGCTACGTCGACAAACGGGCCACCAATGGTCGCTTCAGCGAAGGCCGGAGCTTTGTATGCTGGTCAGAGTTACGACATAGCCTATCGCGTCTCCAGAGCTACAAGAAAACTATCCAAGATCTCATCGCAGCAGAGAGAGAATGGCCAGATATTTTCCAGGAATTCGAAGTTGTTTCAGTAGAGTCCAGTCAGACAGAGCCCAACCCCCTCGGTAAGAAGAGCGAGAAAGCTTCCAACATTATCGGGCGTATGTGCAGCAATGAAGCTTCACGACAGCGATATTGTGATCTTGCGCAGAACCTGCAGAGGATGTTTGACTTGGATGACCGTATACAAACGCAGTGCACCAAATCTACTTTCAAGCCAATTGTACACTGCGAAATATTGGTCCTCGAGTGGATAATGGGCCTCAATCGAGAACTGGCTCAGAAACATCACCCAGGGGTCACGTTCTTCAATGGCTGGAGCTACATTGGGAGCAGTAAACCGGCATGCCAGCTTTGCCGCTACTACTTCGGCGCTGCAGGTCAACACAACGGTATCCGCACTCGAGCAGGCCATGGCAACCTTTACATCAACTGGCGGTTTCCAGATCTTCACGAATCCGGCGGGACTTTCGGTCAAACACGACGACAGAGCATCTTCAACTCGATGATAGAGAAGATTCGGCAGGATGCTTTTGGGGTCTTGGTGATGAGGAACTCGGAGGGTAAAAGGCATGACTCGAGTACCCATCCTCTCATGTCGGTGCGGTATACGGACGTTCAGACGGAGTTGAGTGTTGGTGATCTCCCCGATGTCGATGAACTGGGCGAGGGTTTTGCTACGGGGCTCAGTCTGGACTCGCCGAGCAATAGTTTGGAGGAGTCGGACTTTGATGATGAGGATGGTGGAACGACTCTTTGATGAGACTTGTTTTATTTCGGAGTGTTCATTTTGTGTCTTTTCTTTCTTTAAGCTGTATCTCGTTTATATCTTCAACACGTGTTCCTATAACTTCGATGATGTATAGCTTAGTGGTCATTTCGCTTGTGCCAGGGAGCGGTAGCCTCAAGAAGGTCCTTGTGAAGCTGGCTATCACCACTGGTCTTGTACACTTCGTCAATGATGTTGTTACGCTGCATGAAGATCAGGAAGCCACCCCAGACGAAGTCAGCATAGCTAGGGGTCTTTCCCAGGAAGAAAGGTCCCTCTGAGTTCTCCTTCAAGAGAGCCTCAACCTCTTGTATATGTGCTTTCGCGTTATCCCAAGCCTGCTGGCCGCCATTCTCCTGGTGAAGCTCATCAAGAGGCTTGCCGGCCATCTTGGATCGTGTCTCGTGCCAGTAAGGGATGCTCTTTTCGCTGAGGATGTTGTTGGGAACGGTGTAGAAGTATACGGGCCGAAGGGCGCTCATGAGATTTGGCATGATGGAGAAGAGTTTGGCGAGGACGGGTGAGTCCTTGTGGACCGAGGGCTCAGGGTGGTCCTTCTCGACGCGCTCGAGGATCTTGTTGGAGTCCATGATGTACTCTCCATCGGGGAACTTGACGGTTGGGATGGTCCATGTTCCAGTGGATGGATTGGCGGGAACACTGAAGAGTGTTAGTTGGGTTGTTGTGAGTGACATTGACGACTTACTGAGGCTCAAGAGTGGGCTTGATGTCGGGGTACTCGAGCTGGCCATTGATCAATAAAAGAAGCGGTTACTATGGGTTTCTTGACGTACCCATTCGGTCTTGTAGTCAATTCCCTTGAAGTTCAGGAGGAATCTAGCTATTGTACAGTTAGTAATATGTCATGAGGGGTAGCAGTAGCTTGACTCACTCTTCCATGGGTTGAGAGACCAAGCACCGACAGGATCTCGGCTTGGGAGATCAAAGAGGACGTATTGCTCAGATGACATTGTGAGTTATTGGTGATGGTGAAGGAATTGTCTGGCGTAATGATTGAGTTGAAGTTGTAAAGATGAAAGGGGATCCTTACGAATATGTCATTATCGGTTAATCTACACGAGCTCCAAGCTCATGAGGGGGGAAAGGAGGGGCAATAGTGGGGAGCTGAGCTGTCATGGATGGAGATCTTCGGTTCTGGGTGGAGGAATCTGGTCAACGAATCAGAGTTGATCTTGGGGACATGCAACTCGAGACTATCTTGAAAGAACCCAACAGAATTTGTGCTCTATCAGGTACAGCCGCTGTAACTAAGGTATGTGGTGGACATTGCGTTGTTAGTCATGCGTCATGTCTATAGTGGATGGACCCCTGTTTCTGACTCGGGGACCGTAAGCTCAAGCTATAAAACATTCTCAGCCATCAAACTGCATCATCCAAAGACCCTTTGTTGGCAGAACATTTATTGACCATCAGCTTATATAGATATCTTTATTTTATTAGATGTCCAATCTTGAGTGATTGGAGGGAGAGTCCAGATTAGGCATCCAAGTTTGGGGGCTGGGAAAATCAAGTGAAGTAGCAATAATGGCGAGTTTTGAGCTGTCATCATGAGTACACCACTCTCCTCAAGGCAAGACAAACACTGCATCAATTAACAAGGAGAAACACCCCTTGCAAGACTCGATGCAGGGGGGAAATTTTGTGGTGCGCCTGGCAGCCTTTTGATGATGACAAGGGATAAATGATGGTGTCGACTTTTTCAATCGAGACAACTCAACCATGAAGCGCATTCTGTAAACACAAAGCCATGTCAAGTTAGCAAACCTCCGACCTGAAGAATCTCAGGGATTTTCTTTTCCTTAGACAGGTGCTGCATGTCATCATGCAAGGCTTGATGCTCACATATCGTTATCGCCACCAGCACAACATGAAACCGCCATCTTGGTCGGCTAACTACACTATCAACTTGGGTTTATGAATCTCCCTCAGCCTTGCAGGGATAGAAGCGACACACAAGATGGACCTTTCAACACGGAATTCCGTGTCACCACTAACAAAAAAGCCAAGACAGTGGGGAACATGGAAGTGCGAGAGCGACAGGATCTACCTAAGCATTTTACCCCTGTCGCTATGCAAGCACCACTCAGCCCCCAAAAAGAGGATCGGCGGACCAATTCAACATGGTCCAAATCCTTCGACGTCACAGATAGCAATACTGTTGGCTGAACCTTGGGCTGAGACACAGCCACTGAGTCTTGCACGATGTAGTAGTTAGTAGTTAAGTATTGAATCCTTCTCCATGTGCCTAGAATTAGCTCCTTGCATTGCATACAAGAGACCCTGAGGCCCCCACCTCAGTTCTTCCATTTCTTGCAGCTCTTGTCTCGTCATACAGCTCAGCGATAAGCATAAGCGCAGCAATACACAAAACAATGGCCACGATACAAAGCACTGCACAGCCCAACACGCTAGAAACGCCCTACTTACCACACCGTCCTACAACTCCAAGGTCAGTAAAATACAGCTCTATTTCTCTTCCAACAGCTAACTCGACATAGAGTAATTCGCACCGTTGTCCACGATGAAGGTCTTCCAGAAGTTGTTCACTCAAATCAACCCATAAATCCCACAGAATACTACGATGCTCCGATACCAGTAGACTCGGAAACAGACAAACGATACAACGAAGCTCCCATTCCAGTCACAACACTCGACAAAGATGAACCTGCACCTCCGCTGCCAGTTCGTCCATCTTCTATTACACCGCAGCCTCAGCAACCCTACCCCTACGGCCCAGGCGGCTATGCTCAGCCACCGCAACTACTGCCTTACAACAGTAATAAGGTCGTAACGTATGTGACACCACTCGACCAGCTTGGAGACCACCCAAAGTTTGTGGATTGTCCGTTCTGCAGATATCGTGCAGAGACACGAGTGAAGAAGGTGTCTTCAAAAATGACACAGTGAGACCCTCAAAGCAGTTCCTAGAAACCTTCCATGCTAACAGTCTCTAGTGTCTCTGCAACAGTCCTCGGATTCACAACGATAGCTGGGGCTGTTGTTCCTTATGCTGGGAAGTGGCACTCTCACACAGCTCACTACTGCAGCAACTGTGATCACAAGGTGGCAATTCGAAAATGGGGATCCAGTCAGATGAAACCCCAAGGGACACCCGATTATCTGAGGGAGGTATCGAGATATGGTCCTACTCACTCACCGAGCATGTCCAGTAGCTCGACGAGAGGTTAAAGATGATCTATATGAATGATAATAAGGGATTTACCAGGACGAGAAACGGTTTTCAAAGAGACGGGAGCTTTTGATCGAGTTCGATATCTAAACGACAGAGGCTCATGTCACAGTATTTAATTTGATTTTAAAGGCATGAATATCAAGTTCACGAATTGTAAATGTGCAGTTATAGGTGCCCCCTCCAGTCAGATTGTTGGCGGATAAGTACGCAAATCTCGAACTGCTTCATCGACAAGTCTCACTGGACAGACTCTTATGGGTAATATGTACCTGTCAAAGAGCATTAATCGACTGTTGAAGATGGCTTTGTCTGGCCAATCATACACTGTGGTAATGTCGATCAGGGTATTTCACGGGGCCTGTCAGATGCTTATTTTCTACCCTACCCTGTCAGATCTCAGTTGAAGCTCATATGAATTACACGAGTGCTTTATCAGTTTGTAGAGAACAACCGTTGTGTTGTATGCTGTCAAAATTTAGTTTTAACGAAATGTTTTCCCGCCTGTAGGGTGTTTTTAAGTACCCCATCAGAACCAGAATCAGTGCTATAACTCTGGATCAGTAGGATCCCAGTACCGGGGACTTGGACAAAAATAGACTCAATTGAGAAAAGATACGCCTAAAACTCCTCATACGATGCCGATTCTGGATATAAGATGCTTGTATTCACTGTAATTGGCTCGGACGCAGTAAAATCGCTTTGTGGCGTCAGTTAACTGCGGGACTAACACCTTGAAGCAAGTACATGTACTTAGGGGTTCAAAGCGCAATTTCTCAACACCAGTTTCACTCCAACACCTCCAACCTCTCACACGGCACCTCCAACCTCGTCGTCGCACAGCCTCTCAGCAATGGAAGAATCAACAGAACACCACGACATTCTCGTTATAGGAGCTGGTCTCTCCGGTATCAATACGGCCCATGTTCTCAACCAAAGACTCCCCCACCGCTCGTATACGATCCTCGAGGCGCAATCGGCCATTGGCGGAACATGGCGCTTCTTTCGATACCCAGGCTTTCGATCCGACTCATTCATGACAGCCTTTGGCCTGCCATGGCATCCTTGGAAACATAAACATAAGATGGCGCAGGCGGGCGAGATCGTGGACTATCTGGAAGAGGCTGTTGATGCAGCAGGCTTGAGGAACAAGATTCGGTTCCAACATAAGATGCTGGCATGCGAATGGCGAACAGACGAGCAGAATTGGAAGATAGAAGTTGATGCGGACGGTCAGCGAAAGACGTTTATCGCCAACTTCGTCATCAGCTGCGTGGGGTACTATGCGTACGACAAGGCTTTTCCGACAACAATTCCAGGCCTCAAGGGTTTCGGAGGACAGGTCGTTCACCCTCAATGGTGGCCTGAAGACCTCGACTACTCTGGCAAACGCGTCATCGTCATCGGATCAGGAGCCACAGCGATCACAATTGTCCCATCACTTGCTGAGAAGGCAGGGATGGTGACTATGCTCCAGCGCAGTCCATCCTTCGTCATCTCCCGACCCACGACTTCCAGTATCGACTCTTGCTTGAAGTACCTGCTCCCCTTCTCATTAGCACACTGGTTGGTTTATTGGAAAGATGTGTTGCTCGAGGTCTTTTCCACACAGTTCCTCCTCAACTTCCCTGCATTGGGTCGCAAGGTTTTGATGGGGGAGATGCAAAAGGCACTGCCCAAAGACATTGACGTTAATGTTCACTTTAACCCCAGGTACAATCCCTTCCAACAACGACTCTGCATGTGTCCAGATGAGGACTTCTTCAAGGCTCTGCATCAGGACAACTGCGAGATTGTGACAGACACAATCGAGACTGTTACAAAAGACGGTATTTTGCTCAAATCTGGTCGCAAGCTCGAAGCTGATATAATCGTTACCGCAACGGGATTATACTTCCAACTCTTCGGCGGCATAGCCCCTCTAGTAGACGGGCAGCCCATCGAGGTTGGCTCACACTACGCCTGGCGTGGTTGCATGGTCGACTCTGTCCCTAACATGGGCTTCGTGATGGGCTACGTGACAACATCCTGGACGCCCGGCGCAGACATTATGGCCAAGACATTGATAAGTGTTATAAAGGAAATGGAGAAGACGGGGTCAACGAGTGTTATGCCCGTGCTCGACGAAAAGGATAGGAGCAAGCCGCAGAAGCTACCCGTCAGTGCTACTAGCAGTTATTTTGTCAAGGCTGCGGACCGTATGCCAAAGGTGACTGATGAAGGTCCGTGGTATGGACGGGTGAACTTGGCCAAGGATTGGTGGGCGTGGTTAATGGGTGATATGTCGAGTGGGCTTCTCTACAGCGGAGGACAAAGGAAGAAGGATATTTGAGACGTAGATATTTGAGAGAAAGAATAACGCCACGGGTTTGCTCTTGGGATTTGTTGGATCTTTATGGCGTTTGCCTGGATCCGACACTCCCGGAGGATCGCTTGCTGACACGATTTATGAATGATGAGAATTGGCATTACCTTATAAGCTTATCAGGATCCTTGCGATGTCATATCTTACATGTAACTCATGCTGACCAATTCTGAGCATCTGAATTGAGACTTGTTGGTCTTCCTTTCTGCCAAGGCTATTGGCTGCTGAAGATTCCTCTATTGTCGAAGTCGGGCTTGGGCCTAGAGCTAGCACAATCGAAGCAAAACGCCCCAAGCTCTTCCCGATTGGCTGTTTTACTATTTAGTTATTCTCCGATCGGTTTACTTTGATGATCAAACAATCTCGATCACGATCAAGATTCATTTGTATTTACTCATTTGCACTGGCTGATAACAGCACAGAACTATTATTCTCGGTTATATCCCTCGCCTGAACAACCCTGCCATATCCACGCCAACTTTCTATCAACGTCTTCGGTCTGGCGAATCTCAAGATCTGAAATAATGGGACACCTGAGCCTACGCCGCTCCATGGCATCCACGCGGGCCGGAGTTTAGACTAATCTAGTCTAAAGTCAATTCCCTTGCTCTTGGTCGATCCAGGCAGATCGAGACTGGTAAGTCACAGGTCACATATCACCTGCTTGACTTGCTCGCACTCGTCATTATCCGGACTCTACAGCACGCCTTATCACGGTCAATTGATCTGTAACCATGGGGTTTCTGACAGACAAATCGCTAACCAATATCTGTCTGCAGGTTACCCTTGTGTTACTTATCGCTCAGCTATTTCGTCTTGTTCGTCGCTGGTCTCGTCTCCGCCATATTCCTGGCCCAGCCAGCGCAGGATGGACTTCATGGTGGCAGTGTCGAGGTGCTCTTAGCGGTCGCTATCATGAGCATTTAAAAAACGCAGCCGATCAATTCGGTACGACATTTTCATCAAAACACTTCCCAAAATTACTGACAATCAATAAATAGGCCCTCTCATTCGTATTGGTCCCAACGAGGTGCTCTCAACAGACCCAGTTGTGCTGCGCAACATGTCCGCTGTGCGAAGCACTTATACAAAAGGCGACTTTTATAGCAGCGGCAGGATAGTCCCTGGTGTCGACAATGTCGTCTCCGAGAGAAATGAGGCTAAGCACAAATTCATGAGAGCAAAGATGGCTCCCGGTGTAAGTCATTTCAAGCATCGCACTGCTCTTCTGATACTGATAGCTTCTTGAGTATTCTTACAGGGAGAATGAAGGTTTCGGCTTCGAGGCAGGCATAGATCGCCAACTCCTCAGCTTCATCTCGCTCATCGACCGAAAGTATCTCTCAACTACAAGCCAATCACGGCCTCTTGACCTTGCCGAAAAGACACAGTTCTTTGCCCTAGATGTGATTGGCGATGTATCTTTTGGTCAACCATTCGGCTACTTGACCAAAAATGAAGATCTGTACCAATACAATCAGATAAATGCCAGCTCCCTGCCGGTCATGAACGTGGTATCCGTCTACCCCTGGCTGGGAAAGGTTGTTCATCGGTGGCCGCTAAGTCTGTTGCTACCGCGGGAAGAGGACCAAGTTGGCTTCGGGCGACTGATGGGGTGAGTTACATACCGGTCAATGGTAACTCAAGCTTACTTTTGTAGCTTCGCGAGGCACTTTGTTCGCAAAAGACTGGCCGAGGGGGTCACGATGAGGAAAGATATGATGCAGATGCATATCAGTAACGGAATGAATGAGGAAGAACTTATCCAACAAGCCTTCATCTCAATGTAAGTTCTCAAACCACTCTAAAGACCTCCAACTGACCAACCCTAGCATCGCTGGTTCTAACACAACAGCACATGCTCTTCGGATGATCATACTCTCCTTAATCACAAACCCAAGCGCATACCGCTCCCTCATCGCCGAGATTCGAGGGGTCACCTCTACAGTCGGCAGTCCCATCTCCTGGGCACAGACGCAAACACTACCATATCTTCAAGCCGTCATTCGCGAAGGTCTGCGCATGTGGCCGCCAGTAGCTGGTCTTGGTTTCAAGCAAGTCCCTCCAGAGGGCGATACCATCAGCGGCTTCTTCGTCCCCGGCGGAACGCAAGTCGGTCAGGGGTTCTACGCTGTTGGTCGGTCACGGCTTGTCTGGGGCGATGATGCTGATGTTTTTCGGCCTGAGCGATGGCTACTCGCCGACGAAGACAGGCTAAGGGACATGGTAGCGACGTTGGACACACATTTCGGACATGGGAAATATTCGTGCTTAGGAAAGCCGATTGCTCTCATGGAGATTCACAAGGCTGTTTTCGAGGTATGTACGCCTATACAAGGCACCTCGCATAGTTATGCTAACAGATGCTAGTTGTTTAAACGCTACGATTTTGCTATACTGAACGCTGAAAGACCTATCAAGACACAAACGTCGGTCTTTCTCTTTGCTTCAGACTTTTGGGTCACCATCACCCAGCGTAATGACGAAGAGAATTGACTTCGATTGTGCAATTGATTGGACGCGAAGCTTTAACATGTATATATCTCGCATTCTAGACGTACCATGTAAGTCATATGAATTCGACATATTCAGATCTAAAGCCGGCATCGAATAACATATTGTGCCACACAAGAGAGCAGATTTGCAACAACTCTCATGAAGCTTACTGGTGTTCATTTATTCAACACATACAGCAAGTAAGTCCGCTTGTCCGTATCGAACGAGTAGAGTTAAAAAAGCCACTGCTCCTCTGTGCTCAAATCTCCTCTTCCTCGGGTTTCCTCGATGGCGTACCAAGTGTCTCGAGCCCCCTGGCTCCCACCATTTCCACGGGCGCATTTGCTGGAATTTCCACGCCCTTCCCTTCAACGACCTTTCCTTGTCCCATAGCTTCTTGATATTTCTTACCCGTCTCATCCAACAGAGCTTGTACCTCCCCCTCTCTCTTCACAATATCCTCGCGTTCCTTCTTCAGTTTCTCAACACGGTTCTGCTTACCCTTCATCTCCTCTTCCATGCCCTTCAACGTAGTCTGCAGACGAGCTAGACATTCCGTCAAGCTTGGTAGAGGTGATATCTTGGGTGGCGCCTGTAACAAGTCCTGGCTGGGATCTTTTCGAGGCTTCTTCAGACCGTCCATACCTGCACGTGTCTGTGCAGCCTCGTATGCGATTCGTCTCTCGGCATCGCTATCGGAGGAGGAATCTGAAGTGTGCCCTTCGGCAGCTGTGATGAGCTCTTCCATCATCTTGCGATCTTGTTTCCGCCTCTCCTTTTCGGCACGTCTCCCCAAGGAAAGCCCACCGTCTTCAACGTAATTATCGAACCCTTCACCGAGATCCTCGTCCTCGGCTATTAACCGTGTATCATCCTTCTTTTTGCGACCAAAGGGATCTTCATCATCTTCAACCGATAGAAAATCCTTCTCCAGAGCTAATCGTTTACGCCGTTCCTTCTTTTCTAGAATCTCGGCTTCTGTTAGAATAGCCGTTGGTTGTGGTTGGTTGAACTCTGACGTATCAACGACAACCGCGCCTTCAAGTTCAGAAGCATCCAGGTCCATGAGATCGGCGTCATCGGGCGGCAGTGTTGACGGCCTTTGTGGAGTATTTGGTGTTGATGATTGTAGCTCTTCAAGGTATTCTCTACTGTATTTGGGTCGGTCGTCATCATCCCCAACCGTCCTCATGGGAAGGCCCTTCGTGCCCAGTCCTCTTTTGATAGCGCTGTTTTCCAAAGCTCGTCCCAATGGCAGTTTCTTGGGGGTGAATACCTCGGTGGTCTCATCATCTCCTGCAGCGCTGTCGTCTCCACCAAAGGACAGCCGTGAAGATTTATTGGATTTTTTCTTTCCTTTCAAAGATCCCGATCGACTAATCGCTGGTCGAACCACCACTGGCCCATCATCCTCGTCGTCGTTGGCGGCTGGTGCATCTCCCAGGCCCTCGCTATCAGCAGGATTGAAGCTTTTCCTTAGCCCCGACTGTCGAAATGGTTTACGGCCAGCTTTTGCGCCAAATACTGGTTTAACGGGTTCTGTAATCGCAAGGGTCAGCCTTGATCTCATCAGCAAGAGTCGCATTTCAAGTTCTGGGAATACTCACCATCGCTACCAGCACTGTCGCCACCTGCTACTGAAGGGGCATTTTCGCTGGAGTCCTCGTCGGCGATCTTGATGACCTTGGCCTTTCGTTTCGCAGAAAAACTCATGATGCGATTATCTTTAATATCGGCGCATTAACTGAGAGGTAGAAAGTTCGCGACGCGGAATGAAAGTGACGTGCATTTCGATATCTTATCAGCACGTGATCTTTCCGCCCAGAGAAATGGAGATAGCTCTAGGCCGCGATCGCGTCGCATGAAACAGCATCCAACTATTCAACCATTTATTGCTCAAGATGGCGCCCGCACAACCTGAGCTGAAGAAGGCAAGTCGTAGTCTTTTCCGTGTCGCATGCTCCCCAGCGTCGTCTTCAGCACTTCTCCCGGGCTAAAGCATTGCGATCTGTGGCTGCTGATCCATAGCTAACTTTGTGAACAGTACCTCGACAAGAGACTGTTCGTCCAGTTGAACGGCAGCCGAAAGGTCATCGGTATCCTCAGAGGTTACGATGTGAGCAATATTCGTGCGATTATATAGACAAAGCTAACAGAGACAGGTCTTCCTGAACATTGTCCTCGACGAAGCGGTGGAGGAAAAGGATGGAGGAGAGAAGGAGAGAATTGGCATGGTTGTACGTTTTCCTGACGCACTCTTGGACCACAGAAGACAAGATACTAACATTTGGACAGGTCATCCGTGGTAACTCGGTGGTAATGCTCGAGGCTCTCGAAAGAATTGGCGGCGATGACCGACGTGGAGACCGATAATCCTGAAGAATGGCGGAAACACTAGAAGAGACGACGGAAATTATGTGATCTTTATTGGCGTTAAGGTCGAAAATGAGACAAGTCCTTGAGGGCAGTTTGTTTGGGTCACATCTTACTAGATATCAAGAGAGGAAGGATATCCTCGAATTGTTATGTTACACCATGTCCAGCCAAACACTACACTACCTTACTCCTTCTTCTCCCAGGCCTTCTCGTCATAGGAGTCCATCAACTGGCCAGCATACGCCTTCTGCCAACCCTTGATACCTCCAATCAGAATTTCAGCCTTGATCTCTGTCTCTTCAACTTCGTCGAGGTAGTCCTGCATCCAGCCAGCACATCGTGGGCCTCGACTACCGCAGCTTCCTGGGTGAAAATGAGCACTAGACCGGTTCAGCTACCTAGTCGATTACTTACCGCAATAAAAGATGATTCTCTTGATACCCGCCTGTTTGACAAGGTGATAGATCTGAGGACGGGTCTGATACAAAGTATGAGCGGGGAGATTGATAGATGTGGCGATAGTGCCGCCCTCCCAGTCCGTCCTTCGCACATCGACTAGCAAAAAGTCCCTGTGTGCATTCTTTCCAGAAGCTGAATTCACTTCAATAAGTTTTGCGACGATTGAAGGGTCCGTTCGGGGGCATTCGGCCTTTGGCTCAGGGAATTCCTCCCACCATTGCTTCTGCGGGGTGTCCTGCGGGGCGTCTTCTCCCATGGTGTGACTTTTTGAGGGGAGAGAGCAAAGTTTCGTAAACAAGCTATGAGATTTCTATAGCAACGATATTGAATCAAGACTTGGAAATGGTTATTGTGTAGTGCAGATTGGAGGTGAGAAGACTTGCACTTTTTATCGTAGCTGCTAACCTTGGGTGATGATGACGGGATGCAGTGCCGACCCGGAACTTTTACCCCGGATTAAGGTTGTACAGCAACATCACGGGTCAGATTACAAATTCTTTCCAACCTCAAAAGTAATTCTCGAGACAGGACCGTGGTGTCCATAAAGGAATAGAAAACGATAGACTTGCTATTGCGGTATGCTTGTGAAAAGGGCAATTCTGCCGTGTTGGACTTTGTAGAAGCACTGTCTGTGACCAAGCGGATAACTATTAGGCACGTATCCATGACACCATCCATAAGTCTTAGTACATGAAAGGGTGATAGATGATAGATGATAGAGGTTTGCAGAGGAAGACATGTACATATAAAGAAATGGGCCTTTGACTTTTGAAATATTAGTATCCAGTTGTGCAAGTTTGTCAATAAATTTGTTCACACCAATGCTACTTTCGTGGTGAATGGCCTAGCCAGGCAGCATTCATCGACTGATTTATGATTAAATGAATCCCAATTTATTAACGCTATACATGCTTTTAAATATCTGCGATCATGGGTCGAATGACTTCTCCTCGACAGCAATCTTTGACTCCAGAGCGATATCACCAGCAGATCTTCCAATCATAAACTTGTAGTCACCACCCTTAACCACCCACTTCTTTGCCGACTCATCAAAGAAAGCAAAGTCACGAGTACGAACAGGTATCTCGACCTTTGTGCTCTCACCAGGTTTCAGCGTAACCTTCTCGAAGGCAGCCAATTGCTTCAGAGGATCGCCCTTAGCAGTCTCAGCAGCTCCCACATAGACTTGCACAGCGATGGCGCCGACGACCTTGCCCGCGTTGGAAACCTTCACGCTGACAGTGTAGTCATCGCTAGACTCCTTGACCTCGAGATCGGAGTAGTCGAATGTGGTGTACGAGAGACCGAAACCGAAGGGGAAGTTGACCTTGTCGGCAGAAAGACAATCGAAGTAGCGGTAGCCGATGAAGACACCTTCGCCGTATGTCACCCTCAGTCTGCCGTCAACGTGCTTTCCGGGAAAGTTGCCATATGCAGGGCAGTCTTCGAGCTTCTTGGGGAATGTGCAGGTAAGGTGGCCTTCAGGGGTTTGGGCACCCGTCAGCACATCTGCGATAGAGTTACCAGCCTCCTGACCAGGGAACCACGTCTGGACAAGACCCTGGATCTTTTCCAGCCAGGGCATAGCAATGGCGACACCAGTCGAGTTGACGACAATGGTATTGGGATTGACCTCAGCAACCTTGGCGATCAGGCGGTCCTGGCTACCATCCTTGGGCAGGTTAAAGCTGACTTGGTCCTGACCCTCAGTCTCCCAGAATGGCTCATGACCAGTGAAGATAATAGCATAGTCGGCATCCTTGGCAACATCGACAGCTTCCGAGAGGAGGTCACGGTCATGCTCCGCCTCAGACATGTATCCTACTCGCAGACCACATCGTCCCTCCAAAATGCCAAGGTCAAGATCCTCTCCGTCCTTAGCAGCAGGGGGTGAAGTGTGCATGGCGAGCTTGTATTTGCGTCCCGCCTCCAAGGAGACCTTGAACTCGGGAGGGTTATCACCGCCGAACAGGAAACCCATCGCATCCTTGGAGTTCTCCTTCTGTTCGAAGACGACCTTACCGTCGATGATAAGCTTGCTGGGTCCTAGACCAGAGGCGGTAAAGTAGTACTTGGCGGTCTCCTGGGCTGTGAAGGTACCCTCGAGGGTGACATCCTTGTTGCTGAAACCAAAGCCGCTCAGAACGGACACTTCAGAGTCGGGATGTGCAGGTCGGACTTCAATAGGCTCCGGGTTGCCAGGCTCGAAGATCTTGAAAGTGAAACCGGGGTTGCCGTCCAGGTCAACAACGTTCTCGGCGATAGGGGGAAGCATGCGGAATGTGTGAGCTCCTGTTGTACTGTTAGTCATCGTTCCCTAAAACGATGCTTCTGAATATGCCTACCCTTAGCATAAGAGAACTCTGCACTGTCACCGAGAGCTTCGTGAAGAGCATCCCAGGGGGTGACCTTGTAGTGGGCGTTGACAGACGCACTGCCGCCACCATGGGCGAGACCAATCTTGGCATGGCCTAGCAGGGCAATCTTCTTGCCCTTGACCTTGTCCTTCGACAAAGGAAGGACATTGTCTTGGTTCTTCAGCAGCACGATACCCTTGGAACCAGCTTCTCGGATAAGAGCTTGGTGCTTGGGGTTGTTGATAGCCCTCTCCTCAGGGATGCTGGGGTCCTTGAAGCAGTTGAGACGCTCGAGGAACTTGAGTACACGCTTTGCACGCTCGTTGATGGTCTCCTCGGAAGTCTTGCCAGCTTTGATAGCCGCGATGACATCCTCGGTCTTCCTCCAACGGGTAGGACCAGGCATTTCGAGATCCAGACCAGCTTCGAGAGACTCGGCGGTAGAGTTGACACCACCCCAGTCGCTCATAACGAGACCATCCCATCCCCAGTCGCCTCGGAGGACTTTCTTGAGCAGGAACTCGTTGGAGTCAGCATGGTGTCCGTTGACCTGGTTGTAAGAAGTCATCACAGCCCAGGGGTTGGCCTCCTTAATTGTGATCTCAAATGGTCGGAGGTAAAGTTCTCGCAAGGTCCTCTCGCTAATGGTTTCATCGACAGTCAAGCGCTCAGTCTCCTGCTCGTTAGCAGCAAAGTGCTTGATGGTAGCTGAAACACCCTTGTCTTGAAGACCCTCCACAACTCTGGCGGCCATCTTGCCGGTCAGAAAGGGATCCTCTGAGAACGACTCAAAGTTGCGGCCGCCCAGGGGATGACGATGAAGGCACATGGTAGGCGCAAGAAGACACCGGGCACCCTTGGAGTGCGTTTCCTCGGCGAGGGCGGTACCGATCCTCTTGGCAAGGTTGACATCAAAGGTTGATGCCATCAAACAAGCGGCAGGGAAGCAAGCAGCTGATGTACCACCAGCAAAGGCAGCTCCTCGAGCGCCATTGGGACCGTCTGAGACCTTGACATGAGGAACGCCCTTGGAGGAAATGGGGACTGTCTCCCAAAGGTCCTTTCCAGCGAGGAGTGAGATCTGTGAGTGAAGATCAGTTAGTTGAATGAGGACATGAATAATAGGATATATGTAAGTGAAACGTACCTTCTCCTCAAGAGTGAGGGAAGAGAGGATGGACTGGATATCAACAGAGGCCATGCTGATAGGAAGAAGTCGATTGACTGAAGAGGAGTGAAGGGGAGTCACATCTTGTGAAACGAGGAGAAGGCAGCTCTTTAGTAGCACAACAGCCAACCCCTCAAAGCAATGACGACTTCCCCAGGATAGTGAACTCGCATGTACTTGACCCGAGTGATCCGTTATTCAACCGAAGAATGGCACTCATGTGGCCATTGAGTACCCGCTTTACGTGCATCTGCGTAGGACGCGGTGTTGTGCCATTGGGTCGCGGACAAGGTGGTTCCTTGGTTTAGTGGTGAGTCTATCGATGCTAGTGGTACCGATCCGAGGCTATTCCGATGTTCAGACGGACCTTTCCCAGTGAATAGCCTTGAAAGTCTCGAGATGGTCTAGTTAAGCATGCCTTTTTCTCGTAAATAGAGTTCCAGAGATTTTTGATTAGCCGTTGCCTATTGTCTAAGCTTGGAGTGACTTCGGGTTTCACTCTAAAGTTGTGTCTTGTGCACAGAAGTACGATACAAGGTGAGGCCAGTGAGTGTCACCCATCGGCTAAATAGAAGTGTCCCGCCCTTCCAGAGCTTCAGTGGAGAACATCGGCTCCTCGCTCCTAAGTTCCGGGATTTGCAATTGATAAGAATAGAAGTACACTTGCATGTCATGTTTTTATATATTGAAACAAACATCTTAAGAGTCTGTTAGAATCTCGTATAAACGTCGGAAAATTACCGTAATGGAGTTTGGTCAAGTATTTCAATCTGTGGCCGTGTTGCAAGGCCCCAGACTGGCCTGTGTCTTGTTGGACCCCCCAACTGGAGCATCACCCTGGGGCCCCTGAACGATCGCCATTGACAGCTGCAGAGTTGGAGCACTAAAGGAATAGCGCCATTAGATGTACCTCGCATCACCATGAAGCAACAAGAGACCCAAATTGTCCGGTATATAAAGATACCAACAAGTTCCTCATACCTGAAGAGGAAACAAAGGAAGCCATCGGCGTTTCTTATTCACAACCCTTGCTTCATCCCTTGGTAAAACAAACAAATATGCCCCTTGAAACCTTCAGCCGAGGATTATGCGCCTCCAAGAAAAGAACAGGTCAAACAAACTCAAAACATGTGAGTCTGCGTCTACTCCAACTCAACTTACCTAACTAGAACAGTGACGCAAACAAAAATAGCACACGCCAAAGACACAACACACATTGACCTCCATGTAATCGTGTCCTCTCCCGCGATGCCATTGTCGACAAAGCAGCAATTATAGGGAAACCAGGTAGTTAGGTCAAAAGATGAGCGCCCATTTAGAGTTGCCCCGAGGTATTGCACATCATGATTCTTAGTTGAGCCCCTTTACTGACAGTTTTTAGGGGAGTCGTGGGCTTCAATCCCAACAGACTTGATTCTCGCCGAGTTGAAGCGTCGCAAAGATGATGGCGAGAAACCAGAATGCGGTTCGAGAACAAAGGGCTCCTATGATACTTCGGCGCATGTATTTGCATTGATACTGATCTTGACCCTCAGCACGTTGGGTAGGTTTGTTCAATTGGGAGCTTTGACACGGTACTGATATCTTCCCAGCATGCGCATTCCCTCTTTTCTCGCGACGAACGATGCGCGGCCGAGGCCAAAAAACCGTGATATTCTATTGCCAGCACATTGGAACCGGTGTCCTTCTGGCAACGGCCTTTGTCCACCTCCTCCCGACCGCTTTCGAGTCCATGACCGACCCCTGCCTCCCCGATTTCTTTAGCAAAGGATACACGCCGTTCCCAGGTTTCGTAGCTATGATTTCTGCTATCATTGTCGTCGGCATAGAATCGTACCTCACGGCCCGAGGAGCTGGTCACTCCCACTCCCACAACCATGGGTATTTTGACTCTGACGATGAACACGAGAGTGAGCTGCCCATGATGGACGCAGCTGGACTGTCCGAAAGGAGACACGGACCGCGACCACCGGATATTCACCTTGAGAACATGGAGAGTCAGGGGCTAGTTGCTGGTGTGTCACCACTCCCAGGATCTTCACCTCTGGTGGGACAGGAGGGCAAGAAGTTTAACGATGATTTCAACGATGACGACTCGGATCTTGACTTGGATATGGAAGAGCTTGAACCGGCTGGGTCAAGCAGCACGAGACATCGACATGGGCCTTATGCGTCGCTCAAGCCCGAGGGAGCTGGGGCCGAGGAGGAGCCTATGACACCTATGACGCCAATGTCTCCTGGACCACATAACCCCGAAGAGCAACAAAGAAAGCTACTACAATGTCTTTTGCTCGAGGCCGGAATTCTCTTCCACAGCGTCTTCATCGGTATGGCCATCTCTGTCGCGACCGGCCCCGCCTTCGTAGTTTTCCTTGTCGCTATAAGCTTCCACCAAACCTTCGAAGGCCTCGCCCTTGGCAGCCGCATCGCCGCGATTCAGTTCCCCCGCAAATCTCTCCGTCCATGGCTCATGGTTCTCGCCTATGGTACCACAACACCAATCGGCCAAGCAATTGGTCTTATTGTGCATCGTATGTACGACCCCAAGAGCGCAGGAGGTCTACTCGTGGTTGGCTTCATGAACGCCGTGTCATCGGGACTGCTCCTGTATGCTGGCCTTGTGCAACTGTTGGCGGAGGACTTTTTGACAGAGAAGAGTTACAAGATTTTGAAGGGCAAGAGGAGGTTGCAGGCCTATATGGCTGTTTGTGCCGGTGCACTCTTGATGGCTGCCGTTGGAGCATTTGCCTAGGGGGGGTTACGGGACTATTTAAAAGAACTGATGTACATAGAACGTAAAATTGGTGGCATCTTGTCAATGGCATCTTTCGTGGGCAATGGAGTTTTGAATGTAACGCGAAGCGATACAGGTATTGATAATGTTAGTCGTATTTCGTTTGTCTACTCTTTTACTCTTCTGAGTGATACTACACTGCATGTGTAGGTCCTATGTAGACACTCACAATCCACTGAAACGCCATGATATCTTTCTTTCCGAGGACTTGCATCATGAACAACCCCGGCCGGCCCCACATCAAAAGTCCGAATTTCCGGGGTCCGGCCTTCGAAATGGTCCGTCTGCTACCCCCTTGGGCCCCCTTTGCTCCAGGGTCTTTCGTGTTTCACCCAATTATAAATCTCCTTTTAATCAGCTCCCACCCACACCCGCATAAGCTCCCATGACATGACGAGCTATCGAACCATCAAGAAGTGAGCCCAGAAGCTGAATCTTGAGTGGCTGTCTCACTCTCAGGTTGGACAAACGTGTCCCTCGTTGTGCCTCTTCTGTCGCATTTATCCCCCCCTCCTCTCTTCTTGTGTTCTTCATCATGCCTGGCCAACGCATCCTCCTCTTTATTGTAGCTCAGGCTTTCTTTGCTGGACTTGCCGTGTTTCTCGCTCATTCGCCGTATCTTAATATGTCCGCCTCACCGACTGGTAGCCAGCCATGGGCTGATGGACCTATGAAGCTGGTGACAACACCACAGTATGAGACTAAGAAGGTTAGTTAATTGAACTAGGGTGCTCTGGGATGTAATTGGCAATACTGACTTATTCAATCTGGTAGACCGATCTCTTCACCACAGGCGCAACTCACATGGCGCTTTTACACAATGCCATCATTCGTGGCTTCAATTCCATCTACCTCCAAGCTCCTCATGTGAAGGAGGCCGACAAGGCCGATTTCATTGGATATTCTCAGACTTGGTTCAAGTTCGTCAAATCGCACCACGATGATGAGGAGGACAACCTCTTCCCCAAGGTTCAAGAGCTTCTCGGTGATGAGCCAGTATGGGACGAGACCCATCATGAGCATGGTAAGAACCCTAATCTTCAATTAGTACTTTGTCACTAAGACCGAGACCGCAGAGTCGTTCCTTGCGCCCCTCGCCGAGTTCAACACATACCTCTCTAACCTCGCCTCACCCAACGATCTCGATGGTGCTCAAGTCATCAAGCTCCTGGATGCCTTCAAGGAGCCCTTTGAGCATCACTTCCACAGCGAAATCTCCACCATCGCCGCTCTTTCGAATCACCCTAAGGCTCCCAAGGAAGACACCCCTGAAGGCACCGCCGCTGGCCTGACCTTTAAGGCATGGGGCAAGAAGACAGTCACAAAGGCTGGCGTGCTCGATGTTGTACCTTTCTTCCTCCTGAACTTGGATCGAACCGCCGAGGAGGGTATGTGGGCTAACTGGCCCCCAATGCCTGCGCCTATCTCTTGGGGCCTGACAAATATCGCGGGTTCTTGGTACGGGAAGTGGTGGAAGTTTTCGAGCTGTGATTCGCAGGGCAAGCCTCAGGAGCTCTACGCTCTTCGGAGTCTGAAGCAGTGATTGGGAAGTTGGGTTCTTTCTGTCGGGCTTGGATGAAAGGTGCGTCTGTTATTCTTTGGCGTTGTTTGGTAAGTGAAAGGATGAAAACTGTAGCTTTGTTAGTCGAAGAAATTCAATGGATCGGTGTGCCAACCATCTTCACTTTTCCCATTGTCCTAGCGGTGAATTTCTCCTGCATTGTAGACTCTCTTTTGGTACAGGGTCGTGGAAAAGGAACAAACGGCGTTTTCTTTGAAGTTGTAGATTCTTATGGTAACGTCGTGGTCACACTGCATCGGGTAGCAGAAGAAATAAAGACCTGACTTGCAAACATGTCAGTGCCTCATAAGTCATATTGCAGAAACGATTTTTGAAAGAAACGAGGAATGACTCCAGGCCCTCTGATGAGTCGTGGAATGGCTATAAAACCTCGGTTTCAGCACTGCGCCAACTCTTGTTCCTCATCTCATCACTCTTGTGGACATCTACCAGAATCCTGAAGACGATATTAGTGGAAAAATCAGACTCATAGACCGCCATCGGATTCACGAACCTTGTCACCAGCATTACATTACCAACATGGCTCGTTCAATTTATTCGCTTCGAAGCCAGAAGAACGGCGGCAGTAGAAGTTCAAACACGAGCTGGGATTCGGATGCCTCTTCAGCCTGTGACAGGGGGTCAGATACGAGCTCCACGAACTCTGATTCTAGTGAACCTCAAAACACCAGTTCGACGTATTCTGCCAATAGCACCGACAGTACCACGGCTCAAGTCGACTCTGACCATAAGGAGGAGACCTCATCTCTTCAACCACCTTTTTCTCCACGAATGATCGAAGAGGATCAACGCCGACCCGAGGATGATGGATTGCCGAACTACGCCCGTGATCTTCTTGATCTCCAAGCTCTCTACGTAGAGTAAGTCGCGGAGACTGGCCCTAGTTGATTCTTGCTGCTGACTCCTTAAAGCTCACTCGGTAGATCGCCTCCGATGGATGTGAAACAGAGAAGCGTAAGTTAAACTAGTCAGCGGTCGAAACTATACCTATGTCAGAGCTTGTTTGACTTACACGAAATACTGACGACCTCAAGTCTAGTATAGACTCCATCCACGCTGTCTGGGGTAGTCCAAAACCCCATTCCGAGCGTTTCTTAGAATTCCAGTCCAGCCGCGAAAGCGAGGAAGCCGCCGAGACTCGTTCCTCCAGATGTCCTAACGCCTCTGAGCGATACACAGCCCAGAGTAGCACACGTTATCCGAACCCGGGTCGTGTCTGAAGCTCGTGGTGACTCCACTTCGAGTCCTCGACCACCGGTACCAGACCTACTACCGCAGAGTTATGATTCAGATGTGCTGAGAGCGGCCTCAGTGATTAGCCCCTTGGAGGGCAAAACTTGAGATGGGATCAGCGTTCTGTATGGGAGGAGTTTTGATTTCTTTGGATGAGGATTCGACGCATACGGTTCGGGAGAAGGGCTTTTGGGTTTATTCAGGCTCGGAGATAGATCTTGGATGTCGTATCGACGGGTGTTTGCTTGTTTGGGTAGGAGTTTTTGATTTCTGGGATGGATGCGGTTAGCAAGATTTTCAATGTCAGTATTGTGGGAGTCAACACAAGGTTCAAGATCAAGGCCATGTCTTCATACATAGCTCTTCGTTCCTAAATAGATCGTGTGGGTGGTTCAAAGCCTGTGAGGACTAATGTCATCCTGTTAATGCAGACTTTAACGTTGGTTGTCCTGATTTCCCCTGTGGGTGGTAGTGTTCAAAGTCCAAAATACTCGAAGGCCCACTGTGCACAGTGAGAGGTCTGGGTCTTCAGTGCATTCAGGTTTCGAGGCCCCTGAGGGGAATTTCAACTTAGGACGGACGCCAGGAGATGGTGCTACATAATTTGGTCCAATAGTACCGCTTCTCATGACAGCGTACTGAATGTTCGATCGCCAACATTCAATTTTGGCGGTTACGCAACACTGAGTCAAAGAATATGCTTCCATTTAAGAGGATAGTGATCCGGTGATTGTATTTGAACAGCTATTGGCTGTGTATGTGTACTGCCGCAGAAGAGAGTATAAAGTCCTTGGCCAAGGGGCTCAAAACCTGGTTCTTTCCAAGCCCATATTCCTTATCGACACTATACTTTCTTTCCAACTGACTAAACAGATACAAAAGTCTCTCTCAACCAGATTCTCCATCAATCGTCATGGGGTGTTGCTTTAGCCACCCGGAACCGCCAACGCGAAGGCGGTCGAAATCGAAATCGGAGGTATATGTCGTGCTTCCCAATAGGGCTCGTGCAAAACCCCGTCCTGGCGGCCACGAACATAGTCATCGACATCGACATCGACATAGGCATAGGCATAGGCATTGCCATGGACATAGTCATCACCGCCATCATCACAGGGAGTCAAGTCCGTCTGGGACAGCTCTTGTGCCCGACCAAGGAGAGCCAGAAGCTGGCAATGAGCAATGATCGACGAAAACGGTGTTTGTTATAGTTCTCAGCTGCTAGTTGAAGCCATTGGCTCTTCCATGCTCATATCTCGTGATGTAGTATTTTCTCGTGTGTAGTTCGACGGTTGTACCTTCCTTGTAAGTGATGTCCCGTTAAGACAAATAGTGGAGCTGCTCGCGTCATGTACAAGTCCGAAGTCCGTAGTCTGTGTCGTGGTTGGTCAGTAAAGGGGGAGAAGAGCCAGGGTCCTGAACTTAAGGTACCTTAGCTGATAGATACATGCATGTCGTGTTGTCCCTTGCGTGTTTTACACAAACTTCCAACTTCCAACCCAATCGTGATACTCGCAACAAACGCAATGGCTTCCAACCGTCACGTTCTTGTGCTCGGAGGCAATGGAAAGATTAGCAGGCTTCTCACAGTCATCCTGCTGAAGAAGTCCTGGACTGTGACGAGTCTGATCCGTAACCCTGACCAGATCGATGACCTGAAGAAGATCTCGGAGGGCTTACCGGGAGACCACAAGATCCTGGTCCATGATCTCATCAAAGTTGATAGTCAGGAGAAGGCCGCGGCTATTCTTGACGAAGTGAAGCCGGACTCTGTCGTATTCAGCGCTGGTGGGTTGGATCTCCGTCCGGTAGCTGCGAGAAGTGTACGCTGATCAGTGGACAGGCCCTGGAAGGGGAACTGATCAAGACACGGTAGAAGCTCTCTTATGGATCGTGAGTTGCTGTGTGTGACTGATGTGTTTCTAGATCATCCGCATCGATCGTGATGCTGCAATCTTCTTCGTCAAGGCCTCGGTCGCCAACAAGTCCGTCAGTCATCATGTCCAGGTCTCCTACTTGGGCGCTCGACGCGAGCAAGCTCCCTGGTGGACTGCCGAAGACTGGGAAGGCTGGAAGAAGGTCAACTCAACATTCCTGGGTCCTTACTATGAGCCCAAGACCGCCGCCGATGAAGCTCTTGTTACTGAAGCCAGAAAGAGAGACGGCTTGACCGCTGTATCGGTCCGCCCTGGCGGTCTCACCGACAAGGACGAAGGGAGAGTGCTCTTGGGACAGACGAAGCAGGCCAGAGGCATGACCACTCGAGCGTCAACAGCGAGAGTCATGGCCTTGGTGTTGGAGAAGGAGGGTGTGAAGGGGCATTGGTTGGATGTTCTCGACGGTGAGGAAGATGCAGCGGCTGCAGTCGATCGTTACGTTCGTGATGAGACGGAGTGTGCTGAAGGAGAGCCAGTCCTGAAGAACTAATCCCGTAATCGAGGATCATCGGGGATCACGACCTCCCAAGGCCAAGACGGCACTTGGTGGCATTCCTGTGCCCACCCCTACCCACCATGGCACGCGAGTCTCCCGTCCCTAAGGGGCCTAGTCAGGTACCCGGCCTCGCACCCTCGAGAGTCCCACTGTTGGTGCGGGCCGGTAGGGAGCCACCTAGCAGGACGTGCGCTAGAATACCCAAAAAGGGGAAAATAGCTTCATGGAACTGCAACATGGTTTTTTGATATTCACAACTCTGATATAAAAGATATAGACATGAAACTCGATGCGAAGTTTGGCATCATAGTGATGCAACTTGTCCATTTTTTTCGAAACGTGCATCGCAAAGTTGGGCCCAGGATCAGCGAGTGCGTAGTTGAGCTTCCCATACTCTCCCCTTTGATATCAGAAATAGAACTGCGAAACTGCTGCACCAGAAACTGATGGCCCTGAAGCTCGAAAGAGCCCGCTGAACTTGCAATCACTTGCTAGATCTTTTGGCTATAAAAACCCAACCTTTCTCCCCCGCAGACTTCTTTTCTCTTCTTCACGTCAACATCGCTTGCTCCCTCACAACACAAGAGACGTTCACCAACACGAGGCACAAACTTCCCATCTTCTTCGAGCTTTCGACCTCAAATCACCTTGCTATTCTAACTACGCTTGCTCTTCCCTACGGTATGTCGCCCTTCTCTTTGTGTTGTTTCCCTTCGGGTCACTTCACTTCACGTTCCTTTGTCTCCCCTTCCAGCATCTCACATTTGCCCTTAGCATACCTTCCATCTCCAACCTTCACTACATCATGGGTACTATGGCCAAGATCAAATTCAAAGTTCGCAAGTTCATGGCGAAGCTCAAGCTCCGCCGCCGATTCGCGAAAGACGCGAAAGCCACTGCCAAACATGAGGAGCGTCTCGCTAGAGTCCAGCGGGTGTAAGTTTATCTCCAGTTCTCTCGTCATACATTCACGACATAACTAACCTATATTTGAGCAGCGAGGGGACTGAGCATCGGATTGAACGTTCTATGGATGTTATGGTCGCTGCTCGTCGCAGTGTGTACGGAGCTCACATGCTCCCTCGCACAACCAACTTCGGGGTGACCCCTGAGGAGGCCCGTGAGCTCCACCAGAGTCAGCAGGCTTACAACGCTGCTCACGCCACTGTTGGTAAGGACGTCGCCACCCCGGATGGGGGTGGTATCTGGGATGGCGATGCTTCTAAGGACGACGACGCGACTGGCAACCCCAACCCCAACCTTATCTAAATCCATCTTTCCCAGACGACCAACGAATTCATGAGCTTTACGAAAGTCACGACGAGGAAGGGTCTTTGAGGGTCTTGAGCGATGCCTATGGTTTTGAACGGGTGCCGGTACTACAGCAGATGAAGTGGTTTTAACATGGCTGTCTCTTCGAGACTCGCACAATACATCAACTATACCCAAACTTGACCATCTCTGACGTGAATGACTTCATTTCTATATTTCTACATTCCCTAGAATCTGTTTGACCTGACTGATACTCCTGAGTCACAGCTCAGTGCGCTCGAAGTCTAAAATTGAGCAGTGTTGTATATCCTTCTCCCGTGGACATCCCAGTGTAGCAAGCCCAAATTAGGCGTGTTTTACTAGACAAATCCATTCCTGTGCACTCCCCCTCCCATACTTTCGCCAATCCCCCTCCCAGACACCCAAGAACAAATACATCGAGCCAGCAGTCACTGTTTATTTCACTGGTGGGCTCGTTTGGTGGGAAGCTCAGGGCAGGGCAAACACTCGAGCAGTTTGCAACCACAAATTAATAATCCACAAACCTGTCATGCACAGCAGTCGGATACTCTTCTATTGTTTACGGTCAGTCCGTCTCCCGGGTTTACGAGGATTATGCAGAATCTGGTGGAAGAGTGTTGCTGCCTCAGGGGAGGGGCGATGGGAGTTGAATCGGCCGGCACTGGAGTGTCAGGCTGCAGTGTCAAATGACGCCATCCTTTACCACATGGTATGCCTACCTTACCGTGGCCACTGGTGATTAGGTAGGTAGTTATCGGTTGATGTTATTACACGAAGTTCCAAGATGATCTTGTGAGCCGGTAGATACGTAATCATGTGGTGTTGAGGACGTATGATATTTATCCCTACCCACCCTTCACAAGAGGAGCATGGACAGTCAATACTGCATATATCCCACATCATCTCGATAACTCTTTGTGTCTCTTCTTGCAGATGTCAAGTTAATCGTGTAAATATCCAATCGTGCAACGAAGACTGCCTGGCATTTACTTGTCTCTCCTCATCTACCAAAAATGGCTAACACCAACTTCAGTAAAGTTGTACCTACCTGCCACTCAGACTCAGGTTCTCGCCCACTGTACCACTTTCCAAGTCTGCGCTCACGCCCTTTTCGTCCGTTGTACTCAAAACTCAAGGACCTCGATCCTAAACGATAAAAAGGCTTGGGTAACTTAGCATAAGTTTAGGATACCTTTTACTGAGTTTGTTTATTTTAATAGCCTGTATCAAGGTCCGATATTTTCTTGGTCCCCGAGCACATCCTTGTCCCTGCCATAGTTCTATCAACTTAGGTGCCTTGGGTAATCTCGTCGCCCGTGGCGTATGGAACGAGGTGGCCTGTCCCGTCGTGGTGGTTGAGGGAAGGTCGAATGCTGCTGCAGCTACCTTCCTTGTTTTTGCTCATTCGCTAACAAACTCATCTGGACTTTCCACGTTCGTCACAGGATCTATATCTTCTTTTCTTGCAGTCTTGCAGTCTTGCTTTTGTTCTCCATCATCATCCACTTGCTTCAGCAATCAAATTCCATCAAACGATCAACAAATACATCACTTTGCTATAGCTTTGCAACATGCATACAATCACAAGTCACAATCTACCCACCGCTACAACGCCTCCGACTTCTGCAGCTGCCCCCGCCAACTTCAGCTCTGGGGAGTCTAGATCTTGCCTTACAAACCCTGTAAGTTCTTTCATCCCTTTCTCATCATCTCTAGCATCGCAGCTGACAACACCTCTTCCAGATGCTTTGGAACTGGAACACCATTGGTGTCTGCTTTATTTCCGAGGCGTGGTATATAGATTCCGGGGCCTTGTTTGCCACCACCTGCCTCGCCGCCTTTGGTCTGGCCTTATTTCTTCAATTCGCACGTCGTGCCTCTAGAGAATGGGAGCGTCACCTATTCGCCAGAAACGTCGGCAATCCTCAAGCATTCTTTGATCCCATTACTGGAATTGAACTTGCCCCCCTACAACCCGCTGCCGCTCAACCCGCTGCTGCTCAACCCGCTGCTGCTCAACCCGCTGCTGCTCAACCTGCTGCCGCTCAACCTGCTGGTGGTCAATCTGCTGGTGGTCAACCTGCTGATGCTGCTCAACCTGCTGATGCTGCTCAACCTGCTGATGCTGCTCAACCTGCTCAGCCTGGTGGTGGTCAATCTGTCGGTGGCCAATCTTCTGATGGTCAACCTGCTGATGCTGCTCAACCTGCTCAGCCTGCTCCGGCTAATGGCCCCGGCAATGGTCAAGATGCCGCCAACCGCCTTCCCCCTTTTTGTCCCAGCTTCATGGAACATATTGTCGAGGCTTCACTGTGCACGCTTCGACTTATCGTGACCTATGTCCTCATACTAATGGCTGTTTCCTTCAATGGTTACATCATCATTTGTATCTTCAGCGGTCATTTCTTTGGTATTGTATTGTTCTGGCGAGATCCGGTGGCCAAAGCCAACAAACCAAATGTTTACCAGCGTCTTTTCCAGCGGCCTATCGTTTTTGGTAATGTTTAGGAAGCGTGGGAAGGGATCAAAGTATGGGCAACAATATGCTGGAGGAGGTTTACGAATTGCTTGGTTGCAAGTTGGTAGAGAGGTTCCATTCTTTTACACTTTATTTTACATTGCTTCTCAGTACATAATAAGAGGTTCTTGTTGATTCTTTTATATGACAGCAGTGCATGTTGTGTGTAAGCCAGCAGCCTTATTGGGACCTTGATCCTAAATGAATGACAAAAAGACTTAGGTAAACTATGGAGTAGGTAGCATGAGTTTAGGATACATTTGCTGAGTTTATTTTGACACCCTACCTAAATCAAAGTCTGATATTTTCTTGCTCCCCGAGGCCTTTACAAGAGGCTTGCTTGGCTTGATCTGGGAAGCAGGTGTCTTTTTGACGACATCATCCCACTCTAAGACTAAACGGGACATTTACGTCTCTTGTTTCTTGTCTGTCAGTTGGTAGGTACCTAGTTGTTATCAATCAAAGATGAATTGGCTGACAAATTATCTTGGCAAGGAAGTGGATGTCCCCCCAATTTCGATTGGCGTTAACCTGTCGATCCTCAACATGGGGTTGTCCTACTAACCCAATTGAGCAGCCCCCCGTTCGAGTCTCGACCAAACTCGCAACTTTGATCAAATGCAACAGCTTTATTAATCACACTCCCATCTCCATCTCCATTTCCATCTCCATCTTCATCTCTAGCACCACCACGACTCACTTATACTGGACTGATTGCTCTTCCATCAAGTCTTTACTACAGAGGCTCACTAGGTAGCCATCATGTTTCGCCATCTCATGTCGTCAAAGGTGCGCTCCAACGCAGGCTGCTGGACCTGTCGTCTCCGCCGCAAGAAATGTGATGAGAAGCGTCCTGTCTGTGATTCGTGTGGCGCTCTCGAGATCAGTTGTTTCTTCGATGAAGAAAAGCCAGAATGGATGGATGGTGGACCAAAGCAGAAGGCCATGGCTGAGAAGATCAAGGCTCAGGTCAAGAAGCAGGCCAGCCAGCGTCGCGATCGCAAGTATATGGAGATGCTTGAAGCCGGTACTCGCAACGTCACACTACAGAACGAGGACCAAAGCCAACGGCAGCCTCATGACGCTGCAATGTCCGCTGCATCCGACACGGATCCTGCTTCGGGTCATGAGTTTGGATCGACACCTGCTTCTAGCAACACCAGCGGCGCCTCCCCCCCTGATATGCCATGGCACAGTCACTTCGCTGTCCCGGCCGAAGATTCCAGTAGCTCAACTGGCGCCAGTACCGAGATTCATTTCATCATGATTTACCTCGACTACGTCTTCCCTTATCTCTTCCCCTTCTACCGCCCTCCCATCTTGGCAGGCGGTCGTGGCTGGGTCCTCGACGTGCTCCAAAGCAACAAGTCCGTCTGGCATACAGCTGTGTCCCTTACTTCGTACTTCTTCAGCATCGTCATGGCCAATGGCGCAGTCGAGCATCAGGAGTGCACAAACCGAATGGTTCATCAATTACAGTCTCAACTTGAGATGGGTTTGAGGGAACTACAGCGTGAGATGACCGCTGTCAACCATAAGGTATCCTGCGCCGGCGTCCGAGATCGCCTCCTTGTTCTACAAGCTATCCTACAAATGCTCATCTTTGAGGTTTCAACGAGTAACAAGGACCACTGGAAGATGCACCTCGATGCCGCTATCACCATGTTCCAACAGATCCTTCCGCAATCAGAGAAATGGGGCGAGACATTGGAGGCTCTCTACAGCTACCGTTGGCCACCGCCAGAGATGGGTATCCGAAGACCCTTTAGCACTAATCAAGCTGCCCTTCGCTTCTTTACAGCTAATGTCCTCTACATCGATGTCATATCCAGCATCACACTCGAGCAGGCACCACGCCTTCAGAAGTACCAAGATAACATTATGCCCAGTTGCAAAACTTACACCAACCCACAAGAAGTTCGGATCTCGGGCTCACTCTTCATGGAAGATTATGTCGGTCTCAACAACTGGGTCGTGCAGATCATTGGTGACATTGCGGCGCTGGATGCTTGGAAGAAGGAGCAGAAGAAGAAAAACTCGTTATCAATAAACGAATTGGTTCAGCGAGGCAAAATCATGGAAGACGCCCTCAAGGGGGGACTCAGTGTCATTGAAGCGCAGATCCAAGCATCGGGCCCCTTCTTTGATCCCGTAATAAGCGTTGTGGCAAACCCTACTCAAAATTACGGCTACGGTGTTGATACTAAACAAGCCCCTGGCCTTGCGGTCAACAACATGATCTGGCTCCAAGCAGCTCTCACATACCTCCACGTCGTTATATCCGGCTGGCAACCGTCTTGCCCGGAGATACAAGCCTCCGTTTCCCGCATGACAGAACTCCTGACGACCCTTCCACCCAATGTCTGCCTCCGAACTTTGGTGTGGCCCTTTTGTATTGCAGGCTGCCTTTCGCCTCCTGAAGACGAAGATAGATACCGCGCAATGGTGGAGCGTCTGGGCCCGGTCAGTGTGTTCGGCACAATCAGAGAGGCGCTTGAAGTTATGGAGAAGGTTTGGTCGAGGCGAGATCAGATTGATGAGAGTTGGGATGTGGCCAAGTGCCTTCAGATTCTGGGACACGGAGTTTTGCTGATTTGATACCCTTGGGAGTGAGTTCGTTGATTGGTTCAGGATATGAATATTGCTTTACCTCACTCTCTACTGTGAAAGGGAGTTGCTGAATTTCCGTCATTTCAGGAAGAACATATGAATTGGCATTTCGTGTCTTGTTCTCAAGTGTCATCCCTTTTTACTACAATTCCAGATAACTCCATTTGAAGCGGCACCTTGCTTTCATACTCCGTCTTATCTTCAAACATTTTTTGTTTATCTGTTTCGTGTTCTCCCAGCAGCAGTTATTCTGGCCAGGGGCGATAGATCACAAGGTACGTTGGTACAGCGGTTTATGGTTGAACAATCCATGTCAACCCAAATCCCATTTTTATTCATTTTCTGATGATGAAGCCGATCTAGCCAGTAGACATTACCCAGGTGTTCCCAAACACTCATTTCCGTAAACCGACAAACAAAACAAGGCGTCCAATCTATTATATTCCAAAAGCACGATTACCCCTGAACTCTTTTACCGCCGAAGAGTGTTTGTCTCTTCTCGAGCAGATCAAGATCCCACCAACCCTCTACTCGCTCTAGCAGAGTCTTGCGCTTCGACCAGACCCTCTCAAGAGGACTCTTTGGTCCACTGTCGTTCATACGTCCCGGTGATACCGGTACTGGAGGCAAAGGGGGAAGATGTTGCAGAGGCTGTGGTACTTCCTTTCTCTTTACTCGGACAGGCGCCGTGGGGGGCGGGGGACACCACGGCTGGCGTGCGCTCTCAGCATCAGAAGAGTCGCTGTCGAACCGCTTCGCCATGGCCATGGTCCCCAGACTTCGCTCCTGGGCCATCACATGCGGTCCTAGGCTGATGCCCAGGGCGTTGACCTGCCCCTCACGGCCGCACCCTCAACCCTCGATATCCTTGGGAGCAGGGCGGGAGGCACCCTTTGTTCGCTTCCAGAGGCATCCGGAGGTGATGGCGGAGAAGGCAAACAGCACGCAGAGGGCAATGCTAAGGCCCCAGATGGACTTGATCTGGTAGCACGAAGCCTTATCAGGGTCGACCCAGGCGAAAGTGTTGCCACGGGAGTGGTATACGTTGTGGAAGAGGGAGTTGACAAAGTTGGCCGTGTTGCCGTCCGAGGGAAACTTGGGGCACGAGAGGTAGCTGACGGGCTTGCCGACAGTGCATGCGACCACGATGCATGCAACGAGAAGCATGATATCGGCACCAGTCGAGAGGAGGAGAGGAAGCATGCCATCCCAGTAGAGGATGTAAGAAATGGCAATGTAAAGGGTCGAGATGCAGGCCTGTATCATGTTAGTCCGTCGCCCTTCGCTCACAGCACATATACCAGTCAACTTACAACAACCAGTGTTCCAATCAAGGCAGAAGGCGCCGCATAATCAGCGTTGACCATCTCACCAATGAAGTTGGCAGTCAGTCCAATGATCGTGATCAGAGAGATGAACTCCATGGCTCGCATGGCAGTCCAGGTGTGGCCGAGGGCTCCGAGAGCAGGCTGCATCTTGGTCTTGAAGTTTCCAACAGATTCTGTGTCTAGAGAGAGACGAGGGCGCGACGAGCCAGCTGTGCGCAAAGGAAAGTTTTTGGCGTAGAAAGGGATGGAGGGGGGTGAGGAAGTTATTTTGTCTAAGTGAACGGCTCGCCCAAAGAAGAGGCGAGAGATGGACTTGTAAAAGAAAGGGAATTCGTTATGAGATTCGTCTGGTCGTGAGTAAGAAGAAAAACCCAAGAGAGGACAAAGGAAAGTAAGGAAAAGAGACAAAAAGAAAAGAGAGAGATTGGAGTGTTTGCTGTCTAAGTTGTTTGATGGAGAGAAAAGGATATCTCAACCAGCCCGATACTCCGTGTCTTTATACACAAATCCAAAGTCAACAAAACTCTCCAAGATACAAGAATAACACACTCAGTTCATGGGTAGGACCTTGTCTAGCCTCGTTTCCAATTACAGCAACCGCCTACTACCAGCCGCCATCGCGCTTCACGCTCTCCCACAGACGATCATCTCAACCCTGCCAGTTCAACAACATGATACAGCGATTCTCTTGCTGTTCCTGGGCGTTAGGTTCCGTCGGCCAATGAGGCTTCAGAGGCTTAACGTTGTGGCGGCGCTTAGACGAGCAGGGATGTTGGATGAATAGCAATAGCCGCGCAGGGAAGAGAGCGGCTGGTGTTTCAGAAAACATCGACATGGCCATGATTGGGTGAGAGTCGTTCTTGAGGAAATACGGTTCGTTGGCCCGGATGAGGCTCCTTTGTTTAGAATGAGGTCGCATACACGGCGAGATTGCGTGGGTGAAGATTATGAGTCCACTGTTGCAAGTTATACCGGGATAGTCGTCCTACTACAACAGCGACTAATCCGGTCCAGGATCGATCTCGGCTGTTGATCTGATCTTGTGTGGCTCATAATGATCGTCGTGAATCCGTTGTTGGTTGTGTTTCACCTGATACAGCATAATCGATCGAATGCTGGTGGCCTACCACAGGGGCCACGCCAAATTGGCTGAAAATAGAGCGACATGACATGTCAGTTCATTTTGTTGCGCCAGACGCCTATCTAGGATCCTATCATGAATACAAACATGCTGTCCCACTGCTTATTATTCTGTACATTCTCAAGCCCACACAACCAACAGAGGCATTAGTGCCCCAGCCGTCGTCTCAGTTCCAGGTTATGATCCACCATTCTCAAGATAGATTTAGCACATAAGCTTAACCAAGGAGATCGTCCATGGCAGATCCGCCGGTCTTGGGAGGAGCACTGCCGCTGGAAGATGGAGCTGCTGGGGCTCCCCAGATTCCAGCACTGCTCTTCTCCTTGGCAAGTTGGCCCATTGCGGGTCCAGTCTTGGGTGTCTCTGGCTTCTTGACACCTCCACTGGCCTTGCCCCAGAGAGCTCCAAAGGCATCTCCACCGGCAGCGGGTGCTGGCTTGGCTGATGAGCTAGTGACGGGCTTCATGTTAGCCATAGTGGTAGGGCCGCTGGGCGCAGCGTTGGAGGCGCTTCCCATGCCTGAGAAGGCAGATGTTGTTGGGGTCTTTGCTGTCTGTGCTTGGACAGAGCTGAAGTAGTTGGGTCCAGTCTGTTGGAAGGCAGCAGGCTTGGGAGCCTGTGCCGCAGGGGCAGCAGGGATGCTGAAGGCAGAATAGTTGGGCCCGGGAGTTCCTGAGGCACTTGGTGCAGGCGAGATGGACGCCATACTAACCATGTGGCTAATGTCAGCTTGCTGAGGAGCCGATTGAGGTTGGGGAGCAACAAACTGGGCGGTTGAGGAGGCCGTCGATGTCACAGCAGGGCTTTGCATAAAGTTGTTGGATGGCGCTGCTTGAGCTGGGGTAGCTGACTGGAAGTCGTCGAACTCGTCGTCGTCGTCTTGCGCAGGAGCGGCGGCAGTGTTGCTTGGGGCCAACGCTGGTGCTGCAGAAGACGCTGGCGCAGGGTCATCGAAGGAGAAAAGATCAACCTCGGGTTCTTTCTTCTTGGGAGGCTCAGCGGCCTTCTTAACAGGAGTGCGCTCGGGTCGCTTGGCGGCAGCTCTTGATGAGCTGGCGGCTGGTCTCTCACCCTCGTCGAACTCATCGTATTCCTCAAATCGCTCGGATCGGCTGGCAGCGCCATCGCCTCGCCAGTCATCAGACTGACCTCCAAAGCCACCGCCATCGCCATAAACACCACCAGAGTATCCGCCATAGTTGCCAGGGCCACCGCTGCTACCACCACCACCGTAGCCAGCGCTCTCACTGCCAAAACCACCATAACGGCCAGAGCTACCGCTCGAGAAACCACCTCCAAAAGTCGCACCACCCTCAACTCCGGTGTACTTGTTCTTGGTCGCACGCGCCTTCTTACGCTCGGTCCGGATACGATCCACGTCACTAAGAAGATCGGCCAACTCCTTGGCTCGGTTGCGCACGTTGATGCCCTGGTCCTTTCCGTTCTGATCAATAAAGTGAAATTGGCGCAGCATCTTAAGAAGCGAGATGTGGCCTCTAGCATCGTCGATAACGCGCTCGGAACCGTGCTTGATAAGAAACTCGAGTAATTGGAGGGCCTTGTAGATCTGACGCCACTCCTCGGCAGCCTTCTCGGTGAAGCGACGGTAGATCATAGGCATAATCTCGTTAAGGGTTTGGCTGGCTCATGGTCAGCAAAGTTGGTCTTGGATACGGTTCGAAATGGCGAGCGTACTAGTTGAATGTTCCATTGGCAATCTCTTGCATAAGGGTCGATGAAGCACCCCATGGCTCGTTATTCGTTGCTTCTCGCACCTGAAGATGGGTAAGTCGACAATGTCCTGGTCTGTTGTCGCGCATAGCTCAACCAACCTTGGCCTCCATCTCGGTAAAGTTCATAACAGCTGGACATCGTCAGCGACTTATGACGCGCATTAGGTGGTCGCTAAAGGGGGTACCATTCTGTGCCTTCCGAAAGCCTGCCTTGAGGTCATACAAGGTCAGGTTGGAGACCGTGTTCTTCAAATCGTTAATATCCATGATGAATTAGTCCAAGAAGATGAAAGCCAGCAGAAAAGTCGAAGGATAGGCGCAAAAGACGCGGAGCCGTTGATGATGCTCCTGAGGGGATTCGTAATGGAATTGAATGGAGTATCTGGAGTTCAAGATGCCCCTTGCTACGCTATTGCCATGGTGGACACTTGGACATTTCCCAGAGCCCAACGTCAGCATGGATCATGGCTGATCACGTGATACTGTCGACATTCCTGTATGAGGATATAGAGATTATGAAGTAGAGCATTCATTCAGGGCTTATGTGACTGGTCTGAGGTACAATTGAATTTCCAGCATCTCCTGTCCTCTAGTTGTCATATGGATGTTACAGTTGTAGAGCCAGAAACCGAGCTTCTAGCAGGTTTAACTCATCTGGAGACTTCCATGGATGGGAACCTTTTAAGTCCCCGCCATACAACCTTAGACTTCAGGCCTGAACAGGGCCCTAGAGGGCCAGCCACGGCGCTAGAATTGGATACCAGACGTCAAGCTGGCCCAAACTTTTATCTTCCCTTTCTCGAGATCAGTCCAAAAGACCAACCTCAGCACGTACATCACCAGTTTTCTGTAATTCTATCTATCTAAATCTGCATCTTCTGTACTATCAAGTCAATTCCCCAAGTGTATTAGTCTTCAAGGTACGTGCAAGTTCAATTGTTTCCCCTGCCGCGTTTGCCTTTGTTCTACCACAGAGAGCTCTGGGGAAGCTCAAGCTGTAGTGCACGCTACAAAGAGAGGAGAAGCAAGACGCCCTCGAGGCAAACATTGGCCATCTGAGCACCATTCTTGAGTCAATGGTATTGTTCTGACCCGGATTGGGATCTTGGGTAAGCCAGCTGATCGGCCCAATGCCGGTATTGTCGGCTTCTTCTCGCCTTTGTTCCTCACTGCCAGCTTGAGCTTGCCTGGTGCTGGTCTGGTTGCCCCTGTCCTACCCGGTCCTGCGGAGGGAAGGGAGCTTCTTTTCCCGGCGTCTGACTGTTCAAAATGCATTGGAATGGTCACTTCTGCCCACGGGTTGATTAATGGACTGGATACTGGTACATTACATGAGACTCGATGTGGAGGGCCCATGCAATCCACCGGGGTGGCCGTATCCCATGTCCCCTCCAATGGGGGTGATGCTTTGGCAAAAGTCTGCTGCACTTCGGGCATATCGGGCCACTGACTCGACGCGTCTCTCTGGACTGGTGGTTTGAGGGGCCATGTATGTACTATGTACAGTACAGTACGAGACTTGCTGCAGCCAGACAGACCAGAGAGGAGTGTGTGAGTCCAGCACGATACGATACGTTGCTTGCTTGACGTGGCCTGGGCAACCTCCATCAGCTCCAAGGATAGCCCCGTTGAAGCTTTGACGGGTAGAGCGAGCGAGCCAGAGCCAGCCATTGAGTCCACAGCACAGTCCAATGTGGTCTTGTTTCTCAATGCGCGTACTTGCGCTATTTGCAATGTCTGGCATGGCATGGCAGCAGGTAATGGCGGTCAGAGCCATGCCATTGAGAGTCAGGGGCAATGCAAAATGCTCGTCAGCTCTCGCTTGCTTGCAATAACAAGCAGGTATTGATGGATTCATCATTGATCAACAGAGCCAGAACCTTAGCTGTTGCGAAGCTCCCCCTCCCCCGCCCCACTGTGGCCATAGCCACCACGGTGACCTCATGGTCTAGCGGGCAGCAAAACAACCAGAGGGAGCTCTCAGGATCACTTCACGTGATCTGCTCTCGGCCAACTGTCCCACTCTTTCACACTTTCTACACGCTTCGATTGGCTTCAACGGCCCACGCTAACGCTTTGCCCCTCCAGCTTCCTCAAAATGAGACCCTCCCTCTTCAAGCCCCTCCTACCCCGCCATAACTGCTTCTCTGCAGCGAGAACTTCTTCCTCTCTTCCTCAACTCTCCAACACAATCAGATCCGTTAGATTCTTCTCAGCTTCATCCGCAGTCATGGGTAACAAGGTGTAAGTCATCCCTTTCTTCCCCAATCATCGCATTGATGTAGGCATCAGCTAACTCTGATCAGTTTCTTCGACATTGAGTGGGAGGGCCCCGTCCTCCAAAACGGCAAACCTACCCGTGACATTCAGAGTAAGTATTGATTCCTCCCCGATGCCATCGTCCCCAGCGATCCGAGACGGCAAGCTGCATCTTCAGCTACCCTACCCTCCGGCTCGATACCTCGAGAGATGCACGATGATCTGATGTTTGCGGCATTTGGATCTGCATGCACAGCATTCGTCATCATCTCGCATCATCAGTTCACAGCTTGAGCTCCGCGTGCTGTTGCATCAATGCTAACATTCCTTCTCTCCAGACCAGCGTGGTCGCATCAACTTCACCCTCTACGACAAGGAGGTCCCCAAGACCGCTGAGAACTTCCGTGCTCTCTGCACTGGTGAGAAGGGCTTCGGCTACAAGGGCTCTTCTTTCCACCGAATCATCCCCGACTTCATGCTCCAGGGTGGTGACTTCACCCGTGGTAATGTACGTTTTTGTCGGCCCAAACTTTCTAGGTGCATACTAACACGATCAAGGGCACTGGTGGAAAATCCATCTATGGTGAGAAGTTCGCCGACGAGAACTTCAAGCTCACCCACGACCGCCCCGGTCTGCTGTCCATGGCCAACGCCGGACCCAACACGTAAGCACTTCCACTCCTGGCTATAAATTCAATAGACTAACAGTGTTTCCAGCAACGGCTCTCAGTTCTTCATCACCACTGTTGTCACCTCTTGGCTCAACGGCCGCCACGTCGTTTTCGGCGAGGTCGCTGACGAGGAGTCCATGAACGTTGTCAAGGCTCTTGAGGCTACCGGCTCCGGCAGTGGTGCTGTCAAGTACCAGAAGCGTGCCACCATTGTCGACTGTGGTGAGCTGTAAAAAGCTCTCACAAAGGACAAGGCAAAGGGATGGGATTTGGGAGCACATTACAAAACTGACTGAATGAGGACTAGCACTAAATAGCTGGATTTTCGCAAGCTGGCATAAAAGACTAGCTTAGCTGATGAGAAATGTCAACCATTAACCCCATATGCATTGTCACTTGATACTATCATGCTGTGAATGATTCATTCTTGAAACACCGCTCGATAGCTTATTCCTCTACTTGGTAAAATTGGTTGATCATCGCTGCGATCATTTGCGCTTGGCTGCATTCTAAATGGCCATCGCTTGTCCTTCTACGCCTTTGCTGTTATCCCTAGAAACAAAAAGCCTTCTTCCAGACCATAACTCCGTTCTCCGTCAGAAAAAGCAGGTATCAATAACCCATACTTATCGTATCGACATGCAAAATCTGCACTCGTGCTCTATTCAACGCCCAGCCACCTTTTGAAATATTCACAGTTATTGGGACCTACAGGGCCACCGTCTTCGCAGATCTCGAACACGGGACAACGGCCGCAGGGAGCTTCGGTGAAGGCACTGATAATAGGCTCGGGGCCGCCTTCACGACCTGTAGGATCATCCCGACCAGCCCAGCTTTCTAAAGACTGCTTGGCAATGCGAGATACGCGGTAGCCAACCTTCCCAGCAACTTTGACCGACTCGATGAGGTTGTCCCAGACAAGTACGTCGACAAGCTTCTGTACGTCGTGCTCGGAAAGGATGGTGTTATGGGTGATGCCGCTTGAGGAGAGGAGACGAGCGATGTCGCGTACGGTCGGATAGCCGGTGTATCCAGCAGGAAGAGGAAGTAGGGCGTCCTTTTTCACGGCCGCCGTGGGAGAAATCTTGGTGGCTTTTGCTGGGGGCTCATCTATATGACTAGCATCTCGCTTCTTGCCCCTTTCCACGCCACCTTTCACGACACCTTTCTTAGGAACTTGGGTCCGCGCAGCACCTCCCCCGTGTGTGCTGTGATAGCTGCTCTGACGCTTGATAAAATCATATACAACTCGCTGTAGGTCTTCAATAAAGGCCTCATCAAAGTTCTGATCGGTGTACCACGGGCCGCCGGTAGCTCTATCGCTGGGTCGTATAGAGGCCTTGATGAACATTTTTTTGTTCGGGTGCTCGACATTCTTGAAGGGCGCAATCAGACCCTTTGTCTGGAGTTGCTTGAGTGCGTTCTTGAGGACCGAGTCGTGCATGTTCAGTCGCTTCTGCAGCGTCTGCGACCAGATACCGTCGCCGCCCGAGTCGTCGATGAGAGAGTAAACCATGACCTGTTCGTCGGTCGAGCACTGCTTATACCTAGCCAATTGTCAGCCAAGAGCTTGATGCAGTGTTCCAGAGGTGTTTCTACGCACTTGTGGGCTTCTTCAGAGTCGCGCCATTTCCATAGCACTTGGCCCGAGGCCTCGCGCATGGTGATGAAAAGCTTGTCATCTGTGAGGGATTGAACGACACGGGCGAGCAGCATGAGGTCTCGGTTTGGAATTACATCGAGGCGCAACAGATCGTCCTGGGAGAACATGTCGGTTCCAGACTCGCGACATCGATCGTAGAGGGCCTGCTTCCAGACGCCGAGCTTGGCCGTCGCGGCGTCGCCCTCGGCGGGCGCGGGGGTGGGCATTGTGAGTCAAGCGAGGATGCGACAAGAGGGAGGGATAGAATTGTCGTAGGAGGAAGGATTTGGTAAGAAGAGTCAAAGATCTGATTATATTTGATGCTACATTGACATAAGATAGCGAGTGGCGAGTAAGAGAATGTGAGAGAGAAGACGGATGACGATGGGCTTCTCTTGGAGTAGAAGCGGCTGGGTTAGGTTGGAAATAATTATTTTTCGAGGTCCCCCGCAGTCGACGCTAAAGTGTAGCTCGTCCCCTACCCTGCTACTTTATTACTGAACAATAGGTTACGTTCCCACCTTTCCACCTTCCCGGCCTGTGAGTCGACCCGGCGGAATGTCGGCAGTGCCCGCGGAATGTGGGGTATCTTATCATTGTCTCGGTCCCCCACCACCTGTCAATACCTCCAACCACCCTAGACCCTTATTGTCATGAGAGTTTGAATATCTTTAGAGTTGTGAGTTGACATGTGTGCGATAGTAACATTGTTTTATGCTCTGATCAAGGGCCCCTCGCTTGAGCTTATATGAATCATGTGGAATGTTATCTAAAGCCATGTAATGTTGTCTGAAGTCCTGAGCTATAAAGGACAATTCAAGTCAGAAACCATTTGTTTACGTAGCAGCCATTAACTGCCTGTTCTCCCCAGATGAGACCTGACACAGACAAATATCGAGATCATTGTAAAATCGCTTCATGATCGCCTATACATTTACACATCTATTCCACTTCTACATCTTGTTCGTGTCTGCCAAGTGCAAATTCTCGTGCATAACTAATGACACCAACATCACAAATACCTGACAGTCTAGCAATCCGACACAACACCAAAGAACACATAATATACCGTGAAGTCCGACATTGACTGTACTTTAACTCTTCAAAGCCTCGCCACGGCCGCGAAGCTGCCACTGAAGGTGAAGGTTTAGGCCTCCATGATCTCATAAATAAACTCTAGGATCGTGAAAGGGTGTAACTCATCGAATGAGCCTTCATATAAAGAGTTCACCAATCTAACTATATACCAAGAGAAAAACTCCTTTCTCTTTCACCATTAATATATCTCATCCCTTTCCTCGAAAACATTACGTCGTTGACACTTTCCAACTGTAGTATCACTGCCGAACCTCACGAAACGCAACATCAAGCCAACCTGACTTTAGTATTACATGAACCAATCCCTTGAAAATAATCTACAAGTTATCCTCAAAGTGCTTTCAGCCGCCGAAAGAGAAGAAATCGATCAAGAGGTCACGGCCTTCATGGCCGAGTTTGGCCACATGTTTGGGAGCCACCTCAACGAAGCTATCTCGAATGATGACGCTTCAAAGAGTGGTACTCCAAGCGCCGACCCCTCAGCAAATGAAACAAACACACAAGACACAAGAAAAGACACACAGGAGGACCTTTCTTCCGCAAAGTCACCAGTCATGTGCGACAGATTCGCGCACTTGAGCCCGGAGCTCGCCTCACACGCCAGAGCGATCGAACGCTACAACTTTCTCAAGCGCCACTGTCCCTGGAGTCAGGATGAAGCATTTTTGAACATGATGTGTTCACTGCAGAATCACCCACAAACTATGGGTCTTCCACCGAGCTCAACTGAGCCTTTGGCCGATGAGTCATCCGAGAAAGGTGAAGGGGCAAGCCCGCGTGAGAGTCAGACCGATGTCCATGCTGAGACCAAGTAGACTTTAGGACATATCCGTGGAGAGACGCTTTACTATAGGAGAGAAACGAGGAGGAATAATGAGAGCAGTAGTCGAGTTACGGGAGGAACTGAATTGTGTGCTCAGTCCAAAGTTACTTGGTTCGTCACTCCGCACCAAACACACCTTATCATCATCACTAAGAATCATGCTTCAATAATATTGAGATTCACCCATGTCACTCATGCTCAAGATATCGTGATTTGTAGTGTTTAAAGAAATTCTTTCGCTTTAGTGACAAACTACTCAGTACAAACATCAAACATCATAATAAAGAAAGCATCACAATTATGTGTGACCGAACCTTGAAATTCCTCCTTCTTGTACAATTCGATGCTTGGCCCTTCGTATCGTCTTTACCCCTGCGCCTGGAACGCCTGACTGCAGGCCACATGTTTCTTTCGCATGCAAGGCTTTCGTCTCCTCACTTGTTGAGTGTCGTAGGCCGGTTGCTTCCATGCAAAGGTGCACGTGGCATGAGCTTGTTCTTGTAACGTGAAATTATCTCCTAAGAAATCAAGAGGGCTTTGCCCAGAAGCCCCTAGTTTACAGGGCTCTTGCTCTTCTCGACAGCTGGCTCTGGCTTATCCTTCTCCGTATCGACGTCCATAGCATCGTCGGGTTGTTCGCTCCGAGCCTTCTCAGGTGCTACTGCAGGCTTATCTGAGGCCTCTTCAGTACTTTTAGGTTCTGTGGTGGGCTCCTTCGTAGCGGTATCGGCGGCCTCTTGGGCAACAGGCTCGTCCTTTGAAGCCTTCTCAGTAGGCGCTGAAGACTCCGCAGGTGCCTCAGGCTCGACCTCTTCCTTCTTGATTGTTGTCTCTGGAGCCGCTGAATCCTCCATGCCAACATCACCGTCTCCATCCACTTTACTAGCTTCAGGTTCCTTGGCCGTCTCGTCAGGCTTCTCGCTCTCCTTGGGTGGGACTTCCTTCTCGACTGGGGCCGAAGCTGAGATGTCGTCGATAGTATCGTCATTCACATCGTGAGCATCTTCGCCAGCTTGTTCCTCAGCAGGTTCGTCAGCGGAAGCACCGTTGGTTACCTTGGCAGGAGGAGCATCGGCATTATCGATTTCCATTTCCCCCTTGCGATAGTCGGTAAAGGTGCGCTTGTTGCCATTCTGGCGCGTGGCACCATGCGCCCTAGCCATCTCATCGTCGTCACTGGCTTCGAACTCGTTGTCGTGTTCAACATGCTTGTCCCAACGATGTTCGGTCATGCGAACATCCTTATTCTCATCCTCATCTAGGTCGTCCAACTCGGCCTCCTCCTCATCAGTCATGCCGCCGAAGGGCTTTCGGGGGACGTCTTGCAACTGTACTGAAGGAGCAGGTCCTGTTTGTCGAAGATTGTCGATGACTGAAGAAGTAATCTTCTCAAGGTACTCTCGACTGTTAGAGTTCTCCATGTTAGAGGATCGCACATTCAGCTCAAAATCGGGAGCATAGTACTGTACCACGTTAGTGGGGGCTTGTCAACATAGGATCAGATAACTTACTTCGTAGTATTCATTGTAGGGCAGGGTTCGGTCCATCTCCTTGCCCACAAGAACACCGGTCTCAAAGGCCCAAGTTCGAGCGACGTTGCGCATTGTGTAGCCACCTCCACCGAGAACAAGAGTCGGGAGATTAAAGCTCTTGACATAGTTGACACAGTTGGCGTGGCCGTCCATGCTCAGATTGAAGCAACCAAGTCGATCGCCAGACAGACTGTCACCACCGCATTGAAGAACAACAGCCTCGGGCTGGTAGTACTTCATGACATTCTCAATGACAGGCTGGAAGATTGACCTGTAGGACACATCGGTGATACCATCTCGAAGAGGAAAGTTGACAGCATAGTTTTTTCCTTGTCCAATACCGGTGTCCCGAAGTTCACCAGTGCCGGGGAAGTACTCTCCGTACTTGTGGAAAGAAACGGTCATGACACGGTCGGTGGTGTAGAAAGCCTCCTCAACACCATCGCCATGATGCACATCAATATCGATGTAGAGGACCCGCTTTTTGAATCGGAGGAGTTCGAGAATACCGAGGACAATGTCTAGGTACTGGATTAGATCGCGATACCTAAGATATCTGGGAGAGACATACCGTTGACGTAGCAGAAACCACTGGCCTCGCACTTCTTGGCGTGGTGAAGACCACCAGCCCAGTTGATGGCGATGTCGCACTTTTGGCGATTCAGTCGCGCGGCACCCTCCATGCTACCACCCGCACTGATACCACAGAACTCAAATAGACCATCGAACACGGGGCAATCATCACCGACGTTGTATTTTCCTTGCTCTCTCATAAAGCTGTCCATGTTGTCTGGTGTGACCTTTTGTAGGAAATCGATGTAGTCGTCGGTATGGAATTGGGTCATCTCGCCTCGGGTCGCAGGTTTTGCGCGCTGGGATTTGTCAGTATGATATCCCAAACTCAGTGACTCCAAAAGTTGGTTGGGGGATCAAGAGTGGACTCACGTATATCTCCATCTTCTGGTAGAGGTTGTACTGCATAATCAAGCTATGCGCCAGCCGAATGCGATGAGGCTTCATGGGATGACCAGTAACATAGGCATAGTTACCAATGTCGGAATCGTAAAAGTAAGCGACCTTCTTGGGGGATGAGCCATTGAGCGCAACCGAGCCGAGCTCGACACGTATATCGTCGCCCATGACTGCGGCTACTCGTGGAGTCGCGAATCTCGGAAAGCGGGTGTAAAAGAAAGGGTTAGATCAAATTTGCGCTCGAAATAAAAAGATCTGTGATCGGTATTTCGATAGGGAATTGCTCAGGGAGAGCTCAGCATGACCGAGGGAGAAGTTTAGGCAAGAGTTTCGTCGGATGTGACAAGCTTTCGAGAAGAATCTTTGGGTGTAAGTATGTAAAGTTACATGGGCAGAACCACTTAACACTGGCTGATGCGAAGCATATCCCCGGAGCTTGAAAGTCTCCCGTTTACACCGGAATAAATATTGAAGCGCTCCGTTCTAATTGATGCAAGCCACAATTTGAGTCCCTCGCATAAGATACGCCACAGAGAGCGACGAAGATAGTGCACGTGACTTGACTAAGCTTCTCAGCTGTGGCTCCCAGGCTGCCGGGCTGGCGTCAACGTCAATTACCTTACCAAGCTCCGATCATAGCAACACCAACCCTCCATCACCGCCCACCATCAAACATCAACACCCGCACGCTATTTTTGTCGACGAATTACTCTACCCGCAGATTATCCTTAAACCTTTCAACACACCGTCGACATCATGGAGCGCTTCAGGAGTTTACTTGGTGGCGGTGGAATGGGCCTTGGAGGAGCTGCACATGGCACTGTAAGCTATCCTCTCCTTCATATGAGCTCCCTAATGGGGCGTGCTTTGCAATTCTGAGCTTCGCTGACCTTGACGACTGTAGGACAACACAAATCTGATTGATAACTCCGAAACAGTCTATATCTCCTCCCTTGCCCTACTCAAAATGCTTCGACACGGTCGCGCAGGTGTGCCCATGGAAGTCATGGGTCTGATGCTTGGCGAGTTTGTGGATGACTTCACTGTCAAGGTTATGGATGTGTTTGCCATGCCTCAGAGCGGTACCGGTGTTAGTGTCGAGGCTGTCGACCCCGTTTTCCAGACCAAGATGATGGACATGCTTAGGCAAACAGGAAGGTTAGTTGATTACAGTCCCTTATTTGTTATCACTCCCTAACGGACTGAACAGACCCGAGTCGGTTGTCGGATGGTACCACTCGCATCCTGGATTCGGCTGCTGGCTTTCTTCTGTTGATATCAACACACAGCAGTCGTTCGAGCAGCTGAACCCCCGCGCCGTTGCCGTCGTCATTGATCCTATCCAGTCCGTGAAGGGCAAAGTCGTCATTGACGCTTTCCGACTCATCAACCCCCAGCTCTTGATGCTTGGACAAGAACCTCGACAGAGCACTAGCAACTTGGGTCACCTCAACAAGCCTTCGATTCAGGCTCTCATCCACGGCTTGAACCGACACTACTACTCGATTGGAATCAACTACCGCAAGACCGCCCTCGAAGAGAACATGCTCATGAACCTGCACAAGCACGTTTGGACCGAAGCTCTGGAGATGGACGACTTCCGACACGAGGGTTGCAAGAACAAGGACAGACTGCAACAGCTGGTCTCATTGGCGGATGGTTATGAGAAGCGCGTAAAGGAGGAGACTGAGCTGACTAAGGATCAGCTCAAGACTCGCTACGTTGGCAAGTTGGATCCCAAGAAGCATCTCGAGGATGTTGGCCAGGAGCTCATTGAGGACAACATTGTATCTGTGTCGAGACAAATGATCGACAAGGAGGCCACCATGCCCAGGAAGGAGGGCCAAGCAGGGTCCAAGGGGCAAGTGAACGGTGAACAAATGGACGTGGAAGAGGAGTTATAAGCGCGAGGAAATGAATACCTTTAACAAGAAATAACGAGGCCACGGGATGGACTTGTAAGATTAATGGGCGTTGGCGGTCGGGACGGAAGATTTAGAGACCTAGCCATGTCACGAATTATTGCACAAGGTTAGCATGATAGCATGCATGAATTAATTCCGCGTGTACCTTGTTGTTCAGTGAGTTGATGTGCGGAATGATCGTCGTTGGTGTTCATACGCTGTGAGCGCCGTGAGTTCTGGGTATTATGTTTTGGAACACAGTTACTCGTGCGTAGAACAAAGGTGTTGACGATTCTATAAAGGCGAAAGATGCGCAAATTCTCTTCTGTGTTTTAATTCACTTTTCGAAAACTGCGCTCATATTGACAAACTGCATATTTCGGCTTTCAGCTATTGCTTGTTTAATCTAGAGTCACGCTTGGAACAAAGACAACAACAGCCACCAGAAGCAGCTCGTCATCGCCGAATATCTTTTTTAGCAGTTCAGTAACTTCTCTTATAAGAGCGCATACTCAGATTTGATATCTATAAAAGCAGGTAAGTTTTTACCCTTCTCTTGCTCTTGAGAGAGCTGTAGATTTGTTCAGGCGACCATGAGCTCTCGAACAAGTCTACGCTCAATCCTGCGCGGTTGGTTTGCGTCGGATAAGTATTCTGACTCTGAATCAGAACCTGACGTCCGTATAGAATCAGTGAGAGGAGAGTGTCCTCTACCAGACCGAAATCGAGGGCGACACAAAAGGGAAAGGAAGAATCCATTTGGGTTACCCAAGAAGCGAACTTATTGCAGCCATTGCCACGGTACTAATGGTTACGGAGACAATGATTTTTCTAGGGGAGAACGTGAGGCAAAAAGGAAAAAGAGTCACAAGGATCAACACGCGTCAGGCGGGCAGCAGCATCGTCTTAGTGAGCAACTGAAGCCTCTGCCTGTGGCTCCACGTCAACGTCCCCCACAAGCAAGAGGCCAACGGCGGACTCCATCAGAGGATACATCCCTGCAAAGGGAGGGCCACAATCAGAAACATAAACGCAGCAATGCTGTTGATACCCGACCAAACGCGTCAAAGCAGCTGAACCAGAAGAAGCATGGTATACATACTCTCTACCAACAGGATCAGGATCAGGATCAGGACCAGGGGAGCAACGAAGCCATCTTCCTCTCCGACGACCGCTCAATGAACCGCGAGGCCGTGTCAGAGGTAGTCGACATGATAGCACAGCGCTTCAGCCACATCCCCTACGCCGTTAGCGGTCTCGCGGCCATGGTCTACTACGGCTACGAGGCGAGGCCGTACAGAGTGAGCATCGTGTGTCCTGAGCACACGCACGAGAACCAAAAGTGCTGGGCCAAGGCGCAGGGCATGATCCCCATCCCGCGGCAGCGACACGTCTGGGGCGTCGCGACCTCGGACGGCATCATCCAGCAGATCCGCGTGAGGTTTCCCTACGATTTCAACGAGATGCATGCCCTAAAAATAGGCACCGCCGGCAGCAACCCCGTCTCCATGTTGTCGCTAGCGGGGCTGGCTGATGAGCTTGCGAGGACCTATGTTAATGAGCTCAAGCACTCGGACCGCGACAGGCAGGAGAATCTGGCCCACGAGATGATCTGGATCCTCAAGAGAATCATCCAGTGCAGATTGCCTGAGCATGCGCTGCGCCCTGAGAGGATACCTCACCTGACCAGGGAGACCTTCTGGCTGCCCTTCACACTATCTTATCCAGAATCGGTGCCTCTATTTGCAAAGGCCGGATGGAGCATTCCCAACGAGGGATGGTATTAAGATAAGCTGCGATCAATGAGACTGAGTGACATGGGGAATGATTTGGAGTTTGGGGAATTACGGCGGCACAGTACGACACGACACGACACGACATGACACGACACAGCACAGCATGGATATGGATATGGATATGGATATGGATTATGGTTACGCTTACGGGGTTAAAGTTTGGTTACAGCTACGCATCGCATGATACCCTAGATGGATGTTTTTTTTTTATTTATTTCCTTCGTTTCTAATGATAAGACGACAAAGAATGTAGACTGAGAGATTATTTATTTTTTATCGCAAGTTTAGAGATTAGGCAATTTATTCGTATCACACAAGATAGCAGTAATGTCGCAAAAGTGTCTTTATTCGTGAGAGCAATCCAGTATCTCTGTGTTGCCAAACTCAGCATCTTTGGCTGGTGGTATTTCCAAAGCACTCTCTGCGCATCAATCCGAAAACGATCTGGTCTACTCCCAAACTCCAACCTCAAGAATGTATCCAAGTGATCCTAGTTGCGAGCCTTCCACGCCTTGACGACGTGGCCGACAGTGAACTCTCCGTAGTTCTTGATGTAGCTCAAGTGAACGGAGAGATCCTTGCCGCCGGCCTCGCAGTACGGGTCACCCTTGTCGCAGATGGAAACGGTCTTGCTGGCGATACTATCGCAGCCGATGGGAAGGTTGCGTGGGAAGATCTGGGATTTGTCAGCTGTGCTCATGATGTGTTTAATGAGTGAAGACTTACACCACTACCCTCACTGGTTCCGACAAGGAAGGGCTGGCCTTCGGTGAGACTGGGGTCACCCATGGCGATGATGGCAGCAACTGTCAAAGGTTAGCAATCTCTCAAATGTACTAAGTGAATGTATCTTACTGTTGTCGGTGATATACGAAGGTTGAGAGAGGGTACCCGGGAAACCTGAGGAGCTGGCACCGCACATTGTGTCCATGGTGACGTGCGCTCCCTAGGGATCATTAACAAGATCATCCACAAGGACAAAGATAGGAACTTACCTGAGAATATCCCATGAGGATGAGGTCGGTGTCCGGGCAGCTCTTGACATAATTGTTGATGACCGAGGTCATGGTACGAACACCCTCAGTCTGAGACTCGACATACTCATTATACAGGGCGGGATAGACGAGAGCCTCCATGTCCGACCCGGGGATGAGCTTGAGGATTTCCTCAGCGAGAACACCCATCGCACCAGGGCCCTGAGGCTCGAGGCTGCCGCGGGCAACGACGAGATGAGCGCCCTTGGCGCAGGTGATAGCGTTGGCTGTGGTGTTGGCCGCAGCCAGAGCAAGGAAGAGGCTCACGATGAGCATGAAGGCGATCATGGTGATGATGTTGCTGATTAAAATTCTGGTTAATGAAGTCGTAAGACAAGTTTCTGAAGGTATAATGAAGAAGTAATCACTTTCTATGAGAGTGTAGTTGTTGATTGTGATGAGGTTTGGTAGAGTGGAAGTCGGGATGAAAGTAGAGAGAGGAGGAAAAGAAGAAGAGCGGATGAAAGAGTACAAGAGAATATATAGCCTCACCTTGGTGACTGCCAGTGCCAACTCGCAGTGGCAGCTGCAGAATCAGAACGCGATCACTGCCAGTGGCAGACAGTGGTAGATAGTAACCTCAACCTCACTCACGATCTGATATCCATCTTCAAGATAGTAGAGCAGCGGCGTAGCAGCGGCAGACCCACAACAGCACTCTAGAAGCTCTAGTGAAGGTTGGAAAAAGCAAAACCGTGGACCTCGACTGTCAAATCGCATCTTTGCAACTTTTGCGGTTCGGCTGCAGGGACTGGGGTAGATCGATGGTATCGGACTTGTTTCTTGATTCGGTCACTATAGTCTGCGTAACTCGACAACAGACGGGTTTATATATGGAAGATAGTAATTTATAGAGCATGGATGAGCAGTGTGATGAAAAGAAATTATATATGACATGTCCAACGACCGTACTAAATAGCTAACTCTCTCTGCCTTTATATTAGTATTGTCTGTTTGTGTAAGTGGAGAGAATCAACGCTAGTTCCTTGCAATGTGCTGGGGTTGGATTGGATCTCCATGTTTGCTAGAATTACAGCATGATTAAACTGGATGCTTCGAAAACTGTGTTAGTTGCTGCCAAGATTGTCCTTGACGGAGTGGGCTTGATTCGTTTATCATGGCCGTTAACAATCAATGGGAGCTTACCCCTATTCCAAGAACACGTTTGTGCAGTAAGTACTACGGACCACTCACACCACAAATTTTACTTCAACTGTATCTGAGAAATCCAAAATACGTTGCTGGCTCGATGACGATTTATTCTTAGATATTCTTCCCAGTGATGATAGATCAATTCCAGTCTTATCCGTTTCTGTACATACTCCAAAAAAAGAAAACTCAGTTCAGTAAAGATGCTAGGCTCTATGGAACATGCTAACAGCATAGTCCGCGGCAGCATGTCCATATGCAGTCACGTAGTTCATATGAGTTCTCAGATCATGACCCCCAGCTTCGCAGAAAGGATCACCAGCGTCACAGAAAGAGACTGTTTTGTCCGAAACACATTTGCATCCTTCGGGTTTCTGACGGGGGAATATCTAATATCTGTAGTCAGCTGTCGATCATGCTTAGCAGGCTTCCCAGTACTTACACCGTTGCCAACACTACTTCCAACATGGAAGGGTTGGCTTTTGGTAGTGCTCGGATCCCCCATGAGAACCACAGCTGCAACTTCAAGAGGATTAGAATGTATGAGTGATGGGGGTTTGTGGCTCTTTTGACTGACTGTTGTTTGTAATGGCGAAAGGCGAGGGCTTGGTAGGGAGGAATCCGATGGAACTCGCACCACACATGACATCGGCAATGACATGGGCACCCTGCATGACGGAGTCAGTAAAAGATCACGAGGCTCTTCTTAATGGGGCTAAAATTGATGTCTAGATGGACTGACCTGCGAGAACCCAAGTAGAATAATCTTCGTCTTGGGGCAGACCGTGACATACTGCGCCAGCACAACAGAGAGAGCCGCCACACCTTCCATCTGTGAAGGTTGATAGGGATTATAGATGGCAGGATATTCCAGAGATACGACATCGGAGTGGGGGATTCTTTGCTGGACTTGCTGAGCAACTGCTCCGATGATGCCTGGTCCCCGAGGTTCCAAACTGCCTCTGGCCACAATGATGTGAGCTCCGGACACACAGCTGGAGTTTCCAGGCTGACCATATTCTTGACAAGAAACAAAGGTTGCAAACAGAATAAGGTATCTGAGTATGAAGAGCATCGTGAAAGACTTCCGGAGACTAACAAGATTGGCGACGATTTCAGTGGTCTGTAGGCAAACTTGAGATTGGGAAACTTACAATAATCTCAATTACAGTAAAACAGACAAATGAAGCTTGGTATTATTGGAAGGATTGTGATTGATGAAAACAGATGAGCTGAAGTCTAGTCGTAGCTCAATTTGCCAACTGACTATGGTCGGCAGCAGGGGAGGAAAAAGGAAGGGGGAAAAAGGAAAGGAGGAAAAGGATAAGATGCAAGATAAAGACAAAGAAAGAAACAAAGACAAGTGAACGGATAGACTCACAGTATGAGATGAGCCCACGTCTCGTTTGGTTGTGCATTGCAAACAGATACATAAATATCAATGTTTGACTACCAGTGAGTTACCTCATCAAGCCTGTCTCACAGCCAAGCGATGTAAGTCACGAATATCGTCAATACCAAACGCCATCCGATCTGCCTTCACGGGTATAAACCTTGGCTTTGGCTTGATCTACCGTAGAGCCTTCTAGTCATTGGGCATGTATGTAAGTGCCCGAGCAGGCATGTCTTAATATTTGGCGTTTCAACCCGGGGGGAAAGGCAACCATGTCAATCCGTGGCACTAAAAGGACAAGGACACGGGAAGAGCAAACTCAGCTCCTTACTCCCACAAACCAAACAATCAAACGCCATTTCTGCATTCAGTTGGTCCATCTATCATGCCTTCGTCTGATCTGGAAGACATGTTACAAGCGCCAGACGCTACAGTCCGTGCCATTCTCCGAGCTCTCTGCCAAGATAGTGGCACCCAATCCCGTGCCCTCAGTTACTTTGAGAGCCTGGAAGCTGTCAATGATTCTTCCGACAAAGGCAAACGCAAGGCGGAAGATGAACTTAACATCTGTGTCCAATGCGACGAGGCCTTTTACACAAACGACAACAATGATAAAGATGCTTGTTGCTACCATTGGAGTAAGAAATCAACGCCTTTAGTACAGAAACACGAGAGCTGACATGCGAGTTTCAGGAGAGCTAGAGGTTGACTATGATGCCGATGTTTGGGCAGACCATGACGAGAACTGTCACGGGACCATAGACACAGATTCAATGCGCGAAGAAAACCCCGAAGGATTTGTTTGGACTTGCAGTGATAAACCAGGCGACGAGGCCGGCTGTACCTTTGGGCGGCATGAAGCTGATCCAACCAAATCAAGGAGAGAATGCGGTGAAGAGCCAATTGATAGTGACGATTATGAGGATGGGGATGACATTTAGGCAGAATATATCACAATAACTCCCAAATTCCAATGCATCAAAATACTGTCGAGTTCACTTATTGTCGTGATCGTCGACTTGGAAGAATCTGGAAAGTTAGGATGGTATCTCTACCCCTGCATATCACCCTGACACTACCTAATAAAACAAGCTCCCAACTTACCCCGATTCAAGACGTCACTTCACTTACACTCACCCACTCACTCACTTACTCAATTCAACTCATCTCACTTCATCTCATACTGAAAGCATCTCAAACACCAAAATGTCACTCACACTAGAACAAGCAATGGTCCATCTCGCACCAGAACAACACGTCCGCGCAATCCTCCTCGCCCTCCTCGACGACCGCTCCGTCAAAGCCGCTGACAATCCAGTGACCGGCCTCAAGCGCAAAGCCATGAACGACCTGTTTGTCTGTGTTCAGTGTGACCAGGCGTTCACACACCAAGATAACACTGAGACGTCGTGTCGTTACCATCCAGGTACGTTAACCAGCCCCTGCGCTTCTGTGTGCATGTTTGTTGCGATGAGGCTGATGACGTTAGGGGAACTTATTGTTGATGACACAGAGGATTTCTGGGCGGATCATGATGAGGATTGTCATGGGGAGATTGATACGCCTGAGATGAGAGAGGAGATGCCTGATGGGTTCCGCTGGACGTGCTGCGACAAATTAGGTGGACGAAAAGGCTGTACCAAGGGAACACATCAAGCTGATCCGGCAAAGTCACGGAGAGGTGGAAATGTGCCATCTGGTGGTGACCTAAGGAAGAACAATGGTTCACATTTCCCAGTTTCAGACGAGGACAGTGACGAGGAGGAAGATGGCGACGAGGAATATTGATTCAACTCAATTGTATAATTCGACGATAAACATACATCTCTAGCATCCTAGCAAGTATATCTTCGGTCTTAAAACCGTGTCATTCAATACGTAAATGAGAACCCCAAACTCCCAACCTATGGATGACTGATATTGCACAACCCTATGTTGCCACAACCTCTCCTCACGACATCAACAAAGATACACACAGAGAGATTATAAATACCAAGAGACGAGAGCCCTGCTGAATCATACATAGCCCCTGGTCTTTGACAAATATTACATGACATAAAACGTTGCAAATAGTCTTGAGTCCTAAAATGACCCGGGCTGTATCGTTAGCCATGCCAATCACCCGGTACTCCTTGCGCCTGAATGCACTTCAAATAATCTGTTTCCTCCTCTGCCATGCCGAATAAATGCACCCCCCGTGACAATATCTGGTGTCACTATCATCCTCCGTATTTCCAAAAACAAAAGTCAATGTGAAACAGTCACACCCCAGGCCCATGGTCTTTCAAGTCATCTATGTTGTTCAAACATAAAAGGAAGCTCTGAAGAGTGCCGCCGCAGAGGTGTTGGTCTTGGCGACACTGTGCCATCTAGGCTAAAACGCTTGGGTGTTGTTGTTACTGGACCATCGGCTGAGTCTACATCATTGGGCTCCTATACCCCCATGACAGGAACCTTCTTGTTCCGCTTGCCCAGAAGGGTAGCGTTGTCCAGGTTGAGCTCGAATGCTCCTCGCTGGCGGTTGCGCTCACGGACCTGCTGTCGAGCAGCCGCGGCGACCGTTGCCGAATGTTGGCCGTAGCCTCTCTCAGCACGCTCTCGCTCACGACCCCGAGATTGTTGCTGCTGCTCTTGATCTCGGATATTAGCCTTTCGCATACTTTGCTCAAGGGCCTGAGTCGCTGCGTTGGGCTTGGCAGCGGTGTTATCTTGACCATCGATCTGCATGACATCATCGTCTTCATCCTCCTCGTTGAGGCCGCCGAGGAAGCGCGCTGGTGTGCCCTTGGGGCCGATCTGCGCTCTTCGCTTGCCCTCTTCCTCCTGACGATGAACAGCATAACCAACATCGAATACCTCACGCAGGTTAACAGCGCCAGGAGATCGGAAGTCGTATCGTTTGCCAGACTCTTCGAATTTCGTAGCATCAAAGGCCCGGAGCATACCATCAGACTTCTTCATCTCTTCTCGGGGAGTAGGTCCGTTTCCGGCAATCCATGGGTGAGCGAGGAACTCGGTAATCGTAAATCGCTTCTCAGGATCCACAGTCAGGAGATGGCTGATAAGATCCTGGGCGGACTTTGAGATCTCGTCCCACCATGGCGACAAGAAAGTGTACTGGCCCTTGGCAACTTTCTCAGTGAGCACCTCGATACTCTCATCATAGAAGGGTGGGAAACCGCAAAGCAGAGTGTATAGCACACATCCTAGCGCCCACATATCGACTGACTTGGAGTATCGCTCGTCCTTTACGATTTCAGGTGCTGTGTAGCCAACAGTTCCACAAGGAGTCATGGTCTGGTTATCCCAAACAATCTTGGAGAGACCAAAATCGGCGATCTTGATGCGACCAATACCACCGGCACCTTGGCCGGGAATGAACTCGCCCTCATCAACCTTGTCCTCATCGCCAGGCTGCTTGGGTTTCGGGTGCTTAGAAGGCACCACAGGAATGGGCTCAAACAGAATGTTCTCGGGCTTGATGTCACTGGTAGGGATGTTAGTGATGATTCCAAGGCCGTGCAGAGGCGAATGACGTCAGGAGGGGCACCACCACTTCTGACATCAAGCCGGCCAAAAAGAGTCATGACATACCGATGAACAACACCCTTCTCCTCGTGGAGATATTCAAGAGCCTTGGCCACCTGAACAATGACGTGTCGGGAAAGCTCCTCGCTGAAATATGTCAAGCGGACAATCTGGTGGAAAAGTTCACCACCAGGGGCAAGCTCTAGAATGATGTAATAATATTGCCTCGATTCGGAGAATTCGACGAGCTTGATAATATTGGGGTGGTCGAGTTGGCGCATAATCTGGACCTCCTTCAAGATATTTGATCGCTGCAGGAGTGTCAGTATTCTGCCTCGCATGTCCTCGAGTCTAAAGGCTGGCCACCCCCGCCATCAAGACAGCAGGAACTGACTCCAGACGGGGATAGCATCGGCCTGGACATAGGAAAGAAATAGTGACGTAAGGAGAATCTTCTCGCACCTCTGCTGCCTTCGGGACTTTCTTGAAGTCTGGATGTAAATGCTTATTGCCCTATGAAAGGGGACAACCCCGTGTTGGTAAATGGGGACCCAAAGAAAGAGAAAGCAGACGACTAAAAAGCACAAGAAACATCAAAACAAAAGGAGATAGGGCGACAGATATAGGCAACCCCAATGTTTGCTTACCTGCATACTGTTCATCTCGTACTTGCGTACTACTTTGATGGCGACCTCGCCTTGCTGACCTGTTGTGTCGCGGGCGCGGTAAACATTGCTGAAGGCACCATCACCCATCTTGTCGACGAGCTCCCAGCGCTCGAGGCCGGGGTAACGAGGGAATTTGCTCTTGCTGGCATTCTCCTCGGCAATAAGCTTGGCGAGCTTCTCATCGTCGACGCGCTTCTTGCTCTTGCTGCGTGAGTAATCGTCATCGCCATATTCGTTCCCGGGCTCTTGTGCCCTTGCGTAGTGGGTGTTACTGGGATCTGACGCTGTCTTGTGCTGGACTGTGGGCGCCTGTTGCTGTTCTGTCTTGCGTGGAGCCTCTTCAGGAGCAGCGGCACGAGCTTGCTTGCCTAAGCAACCATTGTCAGCGACTGATAAAAACGGGCCAAACTTGGCAGAATAGTGGGTTAGGACATACCGTGCCGGATAAAGTTCTTGAGTTGCTGAATGGTAGACATGGCACGGAAATTTGTCGCTTAGGCGCGACAGTCGCCTGTGAGAGAAAAGGTCGTGAGGCTTTGGGCGAACTTTGGTAGCAAGTAATGGGCGATTGGAAGTCTTTGAGAGCAGCAGTTGCTTCTAATGTGCGGTGCAAAAACGGATTCGCCGGTCTAGCCTAGAGCTATTCCGTCTTGGAGTCGTAGCGAGTCGTGATCGTAAACGCGAGCTTTGTTTGGTGTGTCGCAAAGCGCGGGCAATATTATTATATAAAAGACGAAGTGGGATAGATTTCTTGACGGAAGCAGGAAGCAGGAAAACAGGGTTGGGCTGCTCTGTGGACGATGCGGGGTTTAGCAGGTCTACTCTAGCGGACAGGAGCGTTTCTTGTTTGACGTTTGATGTGAGGGTGTCGTAGAAAGTCGAGTAAGGTAGTTAGTGAAGAGATGATGAGTAATGGTTAACGTTGTGTGTGAGTCGAAAAGTGACACATATGTTGGAGGATGGAGAAGAAAGAGAAAAGAAAAGTCGTCCCAAAGGAAGAATCCAGGAAAAGGAAATCGATTGGGATAAAAGTGCCTTGCGCTGGTTGCTTGTTTTTGTTCGAGGCAATGCAAGTTAAGGCAAGGTTAGGTAGAGCCTGGTTTCTTTTTGACGGGGGGAGGACCGAGATTTGAGAGGTGACGAAAGGGAAAGGGTGGGCAGCCCACTTGGAGTGGCAGCCCAGCTTTTAGCAGGATTCTAGGCCAACGCCAGGCGGATCGAGTGGGGATGGGGGGCGTTTCCCAGCGGGAAACCTTGGAAAACACAGGGGTTTGTAGTCGAATTCAGTGTCCTAGGAAATTGCTAGAAGGCCCAGTCGAGTGAGTGAGTACCTTAGCTGTGGTCTGGGGAGTGAGGTCACTGAGTGAACAAGAGAGGTCAATCTCGGAGACTATTGTCCTGAATGTGCTGAATATGCGATTGCAGCTGAAACAAAGGATTTGTAAGACTCTGCTGGCCAGTGAAGGTGAATGACGATGGCTGTCAAAGCTAAATGGACGACGAGGTAAATACAGTCCAGCCCAGTCCAGTCAGTAGTGGTGATAGCGGGGTATCCAATGAAGAGACTCGCTGTACAGTTCACAAAGTTCAGCTCGTAAACAGAAATCTCAAGATGAGTGGGAGAAAAAGAAAATAAACAGTCAAGATGTTGAGTTAGGGATAGAGCCTCATGTTGACATAAAACGTGTCGACTAGACTCTATTCGAAGTCGTGGGCGTGCAATTGTAGCTGATAGACACACGATGAAGTCACCCAAAGCGTCAATCAGTACCAAAGTCCCCACGACATCGTCACAGCCACCGGAGTACTAATGCATCCCGTCCGTCACTGTCTACTAGGTACGATGCAATACAATACAATACAAAGATACAAAGCTGCCAGTATCCTCTCCCCCTAACAGAATGACACAACTCACCGCAGGCAGGAAAATGAAAGGTGAGAGAGAAGGGGACCAAGTGCACACCCACGCAGCGATGATGATGGTGATGATGGCATCACCTCTCTCACCCATGCTCCGCGCTAGGGTGCCATGCCATGCCATGCATGTGCTTCGTCGCTTGTTAGTGGCATCATCGGTTTACCTTATCATTTGCGCATATCTCGAGGCTAATACCTCATATCTACATCCGTCGTTTCTTTTTTGGAAGAATCCCATCATGACTACATACCGCAACGATTCGATAAACAATGGAATCCATGCATGCATGCACTGGAGATAATTTATTGCTCGTATGTAAATGGTGCTCCAGGCGAGATCTCCGCCCTATGACGCTGGTGACGACATCACGCTCTCTGAGAGTGGATATCTGAAGATGCCAGCACCCAATTAGACGGTCTAGAGCCCTGCGATGTCTAGGCTGGCTTGGTGGCGGCTGTTCCAGTGGGTTGGCTGCTGAGAATGAAATCACAGCAACAAACTTGGAGCTTCACTCACTGCAAGGTTCCCCAGGCCGGAACCATCCATCAATGGACTTTAATCTCTTGCAAAAGATGAGTTTCTCGTGACGGTCTATCTGTCTGGCTGAATTCAAAATCAACTAGCTATTCATGGAGTTTGATTGATAACTCGAGCCCCCATCTCCAGAGTCACCCGCTCCACAAACTGTTATTCGTGTCCATCGTACTGCAACACTATTTCACATCATTGCTTTTCCCTTTTCATATCCGTCGTATCACCTCAAGGTAGATCCGTTCCTCAACGAGTCAGGGAAAGCCACCTGTATCACAGCACTTACTTTCCTTCAGCTGGATTGCTTCACTTTTGACAAGAATGGAAAATGTTGACCTGAGATGTTGATCATGACGATACTGCACCTGATACTGTACAACCACTCAACTTCACCCACCGTCTGTCTTCCTATCTATTATTATCTCTTGTCTTCCATCTACCTAGACAAATGCAGCCAGTCCCAAAACAGGCTTTTGAATTCGACCTGGGTTGGGCTGGCTGCTGACAGTACAACACCACTCGGACGTTACTTGGCTTCATGCCATGTTACCTGCTGGCCCGGTCTGGATCTCTATTTCAGACCCTGGCTGCATATTACCAACATGCCAAGATTGCTCATATTCCCTCTTGATTGGATTTCCTCGGAACCCAACGTCTTGCCAGGGCTTATAGCTCACCTGTTAATGGGAACATATGCTCCGTATTGAAAAGCAAAAAAGCTCATCGCAAAATTGGATGAAACAGCATGGACAATGCTCGTTATCCCTCATCCGTCCTGGGTTTGCACTGTATGTCTTAGCTTATTTGGGCTGTGAGAAGCTCTGTGCGAGGGTCTAGACCACCATAGCCAGGGTTCATGGTGTTGTCAGTAGGCACACCGATGGGACGCCCGAAACGTCTCTTGGCCATGTGCTCTAGCCTTTCTCATAAGCGCCGTGACGCGGCAGTGAGTTCTGATATTTCCGCTGCCTAAATGAAGCTCGTGAGGTCATTACGCGGCTAGCAGCCTTGCTGATACCATCTAGCTTGAACTCTCATGATGGTGGTGTCTCAGCGATATAGACCAGGGGTTTCGAGACTGCTACAGAAACCCTGATTTGATGCGTGTTGGTTGGATGCCGTTCCTGGAACTTTGTCTCCATCAGGATCTCGGCACTTGGAGACAAGCGATTTTGACTTCAGAACCTTGGTAGTTACCAATGGACGGGACACTGGTTCCTGAATCTTCTTTCTTCAAAAGATTGACTCATTGAGATATGATTCAGCTGGGTAGCATTGGACTTCATCGTATGAGAACCACTCATCATTCTGCGGTGCAAGAACCAAAATATCATCATCACGCAATATGAACAGACTCGACTTTCGAACTCATTGAATAATTCATAATAACGTATCATGAAGAGCATGTCTTCCTACAACTTATAGCATCGATAAGGCACTGCGCGACTTTCGGCATATTCTCTCAACTTCCGATTCTTCCAACCATAGAACATCCTCAGGCCCAGGGCCACAACTGACACAAACAGCAGGAGAGCCGCATTGACCCAGTGGCCTGTCGTGAATCCTCCTTCTCGCTGTGAGGTCTGGTAGATCCAAACGCCAGGGATCTGTCCAATCCCCCCTCCGAGACTAACATTGAGGGCAATGGCGAGACCGGTAGAGGCCGTCGTGAACACATTGGAGCTGAGCCATCCCAGCATGGGTGGCATGCATGCAAAAGAGCCGGCCGTTGCCATTATTAAACCTCCGTAGCGGGCTGCATAGGCGTCGGCCGGGAGCGCAGCCGATATAATGAAGCCAATAGCACCCACGGCTGCAGCCATGGCTGTGTGAACGCCTCGGGCGTTGAAGTGGTCCGCCGACCAAGCCACCAAAACCTGGCAGGCTGTTGTGCACGGTCAGTCTTGTTCACTGCTTAAAGCGAAGAAAACAGGTTAAACTTACCATAAGCAATGGCCCACGGAGGCACCGTCATCAACTGTGCTTTCAAGTCGTAATAACCCAATCCAACGGTGATTGACGGCGCAAACAAGCTCAAACTCGCGAACGCCGGCCCAGACGCAAAGTAGATTGCATAATGCGCATACAGTCGCCAATCCATCAAGGTTTCCTTGGCCTCTGCCCAGGTCATCGTCGGATGCGATTCCTTAGAACCCTCATGGTACATCCGGTGAATAGCCATATCTTTCTCTGCTTCAGATAACCATTTTGCTCGCTCCGGCCAATCGGGTAGGAAGAAGAGAACGAGGAAGGCGGCCAGGCAAGACGGGATGCCCTCGAGGATGAAGAGCCAACGCCAGCCAGAGAGACCAGCTGTGCCGTTCATGTGGCCGATACCATAGGCGATTGCGCCGCCAAATGCGCCGGCGAGAGTGGCAGATGCGAGTATGAATGCAACGCTAAAGGTTCGAAGTTAGCATCTCGACGTTGCGCCACGACAGCTGGTAAAGCACAGATACAGAGAGACTTACCGAACACTGCGCTCATCGTGCTTGTACCAAAATGTCAAGTAGTACACCAACCCAGGAAATAATCCAGCCTCGAAGACACCCAGTAGGAATCGCACAGCTGTAACACTGCCGAAGCTGTTGGTGGCAGCCGTCAATATCGTCATTGCACCCCAGCAAAACATGAGAAAAGCGAGCCAACGGCTGGGTCGCAATTTCTTGAGAAGTATGTTACTTGGGACTTCGAACACCGCATATGAGACGAGGAAGAGCATGAGGGAGATGACGAATTGATGGTCCGTCATCTTGGTCTCACGCTGCATATCGTTGTCAGTCGACGAATTGAGGATCATGGCGTTTCCGATATTCGTTCGATCGAGGAAGGACAAGAAGTAGATGGCGCTTGATAGTGGAATGATGCGTAGGTCTTGTTTCCGGAGAAGCTGCTTCTCGAGGTCGCTTATAGCTTCGACATAGTGAATGTGGGCGTCCTGGAAGACGTGATATTAGTAGTTGCGGCGTTGGTGGCATGCGCACGGGTTGCGCAGAGGGTGAGGAGGGTATTTACAACGTCTTTTCC